CATTAACGGTACTTGTTTTCGTGAGGAGACCAAACCTTTATTCTAAATGGCTTCTCAAGGTGTCGTATAAAATTCGAACCGTAGAAAGGCTAGTGAAAGCTTTGCCGTAAAACTAATCCTAAATACCTAATAGCTGTTTTGCAAACTTTATTATTTTAAACTGTTAAGTGTTTTATTTAAATTTTACTACACACGTAACCTCTATGTTATTCTGTACATACTCGTACATGGTATAATTGCATTTTTGACGGGTCCAATGTTAACAACGTAAGGTAATAACCGCAACGGAGTTTCGATTCCGACCTTGTTCTGGATGTTTGTTAGATCAATAGTTTTCTTCTCTAAGCCAAATATCTTGTAATTATAAGATTACGAGGAATATCGAAAAAGTATAGTTCGTATCTACGAAAGCTCAATTCGCATTTCAGTTTCAGCCTATGCATTTTTAAATCCAAATAAAAAACAACGATAGATATGCCTACTGTAATAATACTTTTAAATAAAACACTTTAACGGTTTAAAACGCGATATATTAGTTAAACTTATTTGTCTCCCCGTGACCGCGGCTGCTGCAAAGCATCCGAAACGTCGGGCCGAAGTTAAAAATAATTTTCAAATAAGTTTAACTAATATATCGCGTTTTAAACCGTTAATTTCATTTAAATGTGTCTAGTCTAGTCGCGTAAACTATCGATAGTATGTAATAATACTTTTTATCAAATGATCCGCATGCTTGGCTGCAGTCATAATTAAGAGTCAATTGTATTTATGTATATAGAAACAAGTTCATTTGTCATAAAAGTAAAAACAAGATAATAAGATAAATTACAACTTATCTCAAGTACAATTGATAAGATAGTCAAATCTTGAGTGTTTGGGAAATAAAATGGCGTTGGTTATCTGCCTACTAATACACTTGTATTGATGTATATCAGTTTTATTGTTAATTATCGTTACTCTATCATAAAATGCTACATGTTACTATCCATTCAAAAACTTTCTAGAAAGCGAGGTTGATTTATAAGTATTGTGTAAAAATTGTAAAAAAAAATGTTTAGTGTAAAATAATATTCTTTAGGGTTGGTTGGTTCATATCGGACGGATCAGTCAAGTGTATCATCGCGTGTATTCGAATGGGTCGTTTCATATTGTACGGATAATGCGGTGAGCTCGAACACTAGAATGTGTGATATTACAATTATTATAAAAAAACCGACTTTTTAAAATTGAAATCGATCGTCTTACCGACAATGCGTTGACGGACACGAAAGCGAACTTATCATACATTGAGTCAAATGCTTTGTACATGTTCTGGCGTTACGCGACGTATTTTCTGTCTTATGTGAACCGACCCTTGTCTCCTTTTTGCGGGACGAATATGCGTCGTACGATATATCTCTCACTAGTTAAAATCTTACTCAATTTCTATCAATATATGATAAATAAAAATTATTTTATTTCATGTCTGTATGTTAGGTCTTACAGACAAGATTACTTCTATATTGTATTTTTTCTAACTAGCAAAAGACGCAACAAATATGGCCGATTTCAAACCATAGAGAACTAATGTTGCCCTTATAAAGAGTATAGTCCTTCCACAGATGACACAGGGTTAAAGAAATCCATTATATATGAACCAAACGACATCAATATTCAAAATCCCTTTTATAGCGACTTATTTTTAATGTCATTATTATTTAATTACACGTTTTTAACGCTTTTTAGCAATGGTGCATCAGTGGAACTTTTCTACCTTCCATTGTCGTTGACTTTGCTTACATCCCATCCTTACGTAAATGTCAAAGTCAAAGTAAAAAAAAATAAGTCTGTAAATTTACGTAAATTCAATTTTAGAAATTTTATGCATGAAATTGTGGGTTTTACTAAGTGAACTTGAAGTAAATAAATTATTGGAAACATTTATGTTTTATTAATTTAAAAAAATTATATGGAATATATTCCGAATGTGCCTCAAAGTTAAATAAATGGAAACCTGGTGAGAATATCACGATTTCATGTGAATTGTGTGTTTGCTTACCAAATATGCCAAGTAAGAAAAAATACACTATACTTATACCGTGACTTAATGCTTAACTTCTACCTGGTAATGAAGATTTAAACGAAGAAAACGCCAACTTAACATAAAATTGAGAATTTGTAAAAATTACGGAATGGAAGTTATACTTAAGGACTTATTCGAGGACAAGAGGTGAATTTCAGTTACACAAGTGGGTACTCGAACATTTACTCTTATCTTTGAATCCGCATCAAGGTATTGAGTCGTTTGAATAACGAATGGATTTTAAGAATGGTCTGGAACTTCGATATATATTTTATCTAGTTAATTCTTAAAATATAATTTACTCATATAAATAATGTGTATAATCATATATATATATCACTTAGTACGAGTGTCAACAAAAGAAGATGAGTATGAAATTGATGCAATTTTTCATGAAATATTGGTAAAAATAAACTATATTAATATGTTTCATTCACTTGATGGTAAATGCCAAATGCCAAATACTATCAAAAACCCTTTCAAATACTGTCTATAGTTAGATTAGTACACATTTAAATACAACACTTTAACGGTTTAAAACCCCGTGACCACGGCTGCTGCAAAGCATCCGAAACGTCAGCCAGTAGAAATCATTTCCAAATAAGTTTAACTAACATATCACGTTTTAAACCGTTAAAGTATTTTATATAAATAACCCTTTCAACCCAATTTGGAATGGTTATTTGGACATCCATACTGAAACCGATATGAGCTTCATCTGTGGTCAGTGGTTCGTGACCCGGACGAATAACTAAGTATACTCCGTGCGTGACACATTTAATTTCCAGAAGCCCGACAGGCTTCAGAAAAATTAAAAATTTATTTGAAATACGTTGCATCTATTGAAAAAGTATCGGTATATAATACTGATCAGTCATTTATCAAATCAATAAAAAAACTTTACTAGCTGAAGTACTTATTAACTTCACTATTTTGTATTCGCAACGGCGATAGATACAAAAGATGGTGTAAAATTCTAAAACGACGATATTTTCTATCAAACAACCTCCCGGGAAGTCATTAACTTAGATCGTGTGAGCACAGTTTAAGTTTAACGGGTGCAATTCAAAATATTGACGTACCATTAACTGATCAAAGCCTTAATATTTTAATCCAATTCGCATAATCGCAAAGATCGGTTTTACATAAAAAGTTATCACACACAGAATTTTATCTATTTTTTTTTAATATAAGCATATTAACAAGTTGCAATAGTTATTAAACTATTGTAAACCGTAAAGAATTTGTGCGTTCTTGAGCAACTGATTCAAAAGTTTCGTCTAGTTGGAGACCGTGTCATAATTATGGAGAAAATTATATAACAATACGTCCACCGAAAATCGAACTATGCACGCCTTTGTCAAAAGTCATAAGCATATAAGAGCACATACCTGGACATATTAATAAAATACACTGTTAACGCCTGAAATGCACATGAAACATACCATTATACATATACTTAAGTATATGTAACTAAAGATATTATATATTTCTTAACTTTTGCAAGATCATGCACTTGCCACTCCACAATGGAATTTAATTAACGGAGGTATAAGACAAATTTTCATAAGTAACGTATTTAATATACATACCACATTAATTGCATCTTAGTAATCTAATCGTAAAGATATATTGACATCTCTTGTTATATTATGTTTTTAATGATAAACCAAATGTTTTTCTGAGAACCTTAAATATTTTATGCTTTACATTTTTTTAATTCATCTAAATTGTTAATTAACAATGTAAGTCCGCGTTGTCCTATTATTTTTTTATTAGTAAAATTCGTAAATTTTTACATATAAAAAAAGGAGTATAAAGAAACGCGGTTTACTTTTTTTTATAAATAGATAGACATTAAAGAGTCTTTCAAAAGAGTGACACATTAATTAATATAGAAGTGTATTTGGTTACGTTACAATTATATCGGCAATCGTAACTTGAGCTTACCTATCAAGATATTTATTTTATCCTAAGAAAGTGTAATCTAATTGAGTAGGCAGTTAATATACTCCTAAACGTCTAATATTATGAGATATTACATACATATTTTGACTACGATGTATCGACGAGACTACTAGAGTTAGGTATTAAACCATATCTTTATTATATGTGTACTCAATAGACTAATTATTCAGTATGCAGACTAAATGGTTCAAATATGCCGTAATATTTTTATCATTTTAATTTAAATGGCAACATTGCGTGCTAAAACTCATTTAGACTAAACAAAGCGCAATACAATAATTTTTAAATGCTAAACATTTATACACTATTTCTCTTCATAAAGCAAATGAGTTTTCATTGAAATTTACTATATTATTGGTAGAGTAATTATCTATAATTAACTGAAATTTTAACCGACACCCTGGTTTAATAGTATATTATGTGATGTATCACTATTAGTTATGCCTGAAGTTGTTATCTTAGTGTCACTTTGTCTTAAAAATTGATATTATTGCCTCTTGTTAAATAAACAAAAATCATTATAAGATCCACTTTATTTCTTTTGCGCCAATAAGGGTTACACTTGAAAATTTCAACAAATAAAAATAAATCGAATATGGTAACATATTTTTAACGATAAAAAATTAAATCGGGCTGAAGTTATAAATCATTTTCAAATAAGTTTATCTAATATATCGCGTTGTAAACCGTTAAAGTGTCTTATTTAAATGTGTACTAGTCGCATAAACTACAGACAGTATTTAGATTATCTTAAGTTTCATTTTAATTACAGTTCGATTATTATGTTACACTTTGATAATCGATTACAAAACCAATGTTAGTCTGAAAGTGACAACTGACAACTAGGAAACGTCATTGTCATAATATGTCAACAAATTTTGTGATTGAGCAAATTCCGTATGTAGAATAAATGTAATTATTCATCGTTTTTTCTGCAAATTTTTGTTTTCACCTAATTTCTACATGTGTAATGTCGTTATTTGAAAACAGCGCATTTAATTCCACCCTCTACGAAGCTCTGTATCTTCAAATCGAGGATACCCTGGGCTTCGCGAAAGATTTCTTTCAATCGTGCGTATCTTCTTTGCCAATTGAAAATTTGCCGAAAAGTTTTGTGAATTTCCAAGATTACACGTTCTACGACGATCTAGCGGAAGTCTTTTTCTTCAATGAGTTCCAGTGTTTGCTTCTGAAGACCTTTCTGCTCATACTGTTGTTTACTTTATTATTGATTTTCATTTCTTGGCGAGTATACGGTAACCGGATATCGGAGAGGTTTATGAAACCCGGTAAGTGTCTTTTCCATTTTTAACGGTTAAAATATATCTTTGAACGTAAAAGTATTTAATGGCTTCTAGAAATAAGTACAGTTATAATTATTTAATAGAATTGAGTATACTTTCCCAAAGTGAACTCTTATGTTTGCTATATTTCTATGCAGCTTTTAAAAAGAGCTAAGGAAAATTATATAAAGCATTCAACACTAATTAATCATTTTGTTGCCTGTCTTCTGGCGGCCATAAAAGAACACAGTATTTTATTAATTGGTACATGATGTATTGCTAAATATTTTCATCACTCATCTTACATATTTATTCCATTCCACAAAGTGATTCCTGTTGCTTAGATTTTTATATTCTGCCTAATCTAAACTATTCACTCACTACTCATATAGTGGTAATATATATTTTATAATAGCTGTCATAAATTGTATTTAAACAAATCTTTCTTAATCCTTGAATATATTGTCTGTTTTATTTTCCCAGTAAGTGCTTGTTTACCCGTAAAGCTCTAACATAGCCTCCCTCTAGTCTCAATTGGTGAACACCTCACTTGTTGAATCCATGGTCAACTTAGATCTTTTATCTCTGGTTATATAACAAATATATTTTTACAGCAACATCAGCCACAATAGCACAGCTTAAAGAAAGTGTATCCAAATTGAAATTACCTAAAGAACATACTCCAAGAATTTAAAATGGCTGATAAAATCAAGAAATTCTTCCAAAAGAAAAAAGCAGATGCAAAATTCAAGTTAGCAGGTCCCGGCCACAGATTGAGTGAATCTTCAATTAGTACCCAATCTGCTGTGAAGAAGGATGTGCCTGTTGTTAAAAGAAGCGGATTGTCCGAGGAGAGTAAGATAGCAGCAGAGGCAGCTTTGGCAAGGTTGCAGCAGAAGACTCACAATCCATCATTTAATACTTCTTTAGCTGCTATTAAGGTGGGTAAAGTGTGTATATATGTACATTAAAAACTATACTATATATATAAGTGAAAAAAAACCATACTTTCGCATACATTTACATAGACTTAACCAGATTTAGCTCTACAAACTTTAATATTTTCACAACATGCACACATGATGGCATATTATAAACATATATTTTTTTATTTATTTTTTATTTATATTTTTAATAAGTAAATTTAGTTTTTGTTTAAATTTTAATAATCATTGTTTTCTAAGTGATTTGTTTCTTTTCCAATAAAATAAATAAATAAAAATCAATTTTTAGTTTAAAATTTTTTTCTAATCAATTGGTTAAAGCAACCAAGTGTGTGGATGTCGGTTTAAGTCTCAATCTAAAATCGATTTTAAATTTGTACAATATTTGTTTATGACAAATTTTTCTCTACTATTATCTTCAATCTAAGTAATTAAAGTACAATTTAATATCCCGATCCAAGACTGACCACGTAAAGGTAACGTTGATTAAACATGATAATTATTCACTATTTGTTATGCTTAGTGTCGAAAGTGAATTCTGTTGTAGTTTTTAATTCCTATATTGGCAAAACATTGTTTTGTTATAGAAATCAAACTTAAATTAAGTGTAATCGGGTTTCAGGCTCAAGTGAAGAGAGAATTAGAAAATGAAGAAGCGTCTAACTCCAATAATGTGGAAGTTCCATTACCCAAAGAGAAAGAGGAAATTGAAAAGGATCTAACTGGAAACTTTGCTGCGTCAGGAGTATATTTCAAGTGAGTATATAATAATTCTAATATTATAATTAAAATGGTATAAAATCATTTACCCTATCCTAATATCTATTTGATTTAGTCTACAGACCATTAGGTGTGTTTAATGAGATTTTGAAAATGTCACATTTTATATGTGCTATAATTGTTATAGATGTCCCCTGATAAGCAACGATATACTACCAAGGGACGAGTGGAAGAGAAACATAAAGACATTCCTTTACGAACAGCTTGAAGAGGAGAGAGGTCTCACAGCCTGCCTTATGATTCAATCTTGTAATAATAATAGGGAAAAGGTACTCATAATTATTTTAATACAGGTTCATATCGACGTAGGAAAACGTATTTGCTGTAAGCGGCAAAATAAGAAATGTTCACCAGAGCCAAAAAGACTTACGACTAAAAACACTCATATTTTTCAAAAACTTGACGGCGTGTGCGATTGCGGTGCGAAGTGATTTTGTTTCGTCATACAAATATGAGAACCAGACCAATCGACGCAGTATTTTTTTTCTGATAAAAATGATGTAAAAAACGTAATTTCGATTTTTTGGGGCCTATAGCAAATACGTTTTCCTATGTCGATATATTTTTAATATCTCGAATTTTCAATGCTAAAGAAAGTATTGTTTAATTAATATAAACATTTGAGAAATTATTGAAAATGTAAGGAAAAGAATTTTAACTCACCAGCAATATTATTACTCTTTTATTTAAAAAATATGTGAAGTTTAACAATGAGCAGAGAAGTGGGCATCTGTTACAATGAATATATTAAAATTTGTTTATTTATTATTTTGAATATTAGGTTTGGAACCTAAGACATCGAGTTTAAATGTATATATATTTATATGAAAATATTATGCCTTTTACAGATTGACACCTGTGTAGAGACTCTATGCAAGTATCTGGAGAATATAGTGACTTATCCTGAAGAGGAGAAATATCAGAAAATTCGAATGTCCAATAGGTGAGCCGAGTTACCCACAGAATATCACATATATATTTACATTACACTTCGATGCGTTGTACAGTTTACGTCCCGTACTAATGACCGTTCAGACCTACCAGTTTACGATCCGTACTGGTGATCGTTCGACGACACGGCCTTCCTACAAAACACAGGTCTCCGTATGTAACATTGAAAAAAAAAAAGCAAACATCACATAGCTCGGGTAGTCCTGAGATAAGACGAGGGATCAAAAACGTCCGTGGTAGTATAGAACGCAACGCAACGAACTGTTTTTATCGTAATCAAATTTGGTCGAAATTAATTCACTACTAACAATTATTTGTTAGTGTTGTATAAACATAATAATAGTAATCTTGCAAACAACAAAACTACGTTTGCTGGATCTGCTAGTTTCATATAAACGCCTGTGTGTTTATAAAAAAACGTTATCGGGACGACAACTAAATGACTTCTCACCGGCTTATGTAAAGTCCATCCACGTAACAACATAATCGATTCACCGAGTCTTTCGCTCACTTCGTCCACTTTTTACACCATAATGTTACATGACTGTCAAATACTGTACTTTGTACCTGAGTTACAGATAGCTACTAGAACACTCAGATTATAGATAGAATTGTCAAATTCTTATCACTCCGCTTAAGAACAAAAGATTTATTAAATTAAATTAAGACAACTGATAAAAAAAGATATAAAAAGAATATCATATCGGATATATATCTCTATAAGATAAAAGAAAACCGTCCTATAACGTGTTATAATCCCATACATAGTTCTCTCTAGCCAACCAAACCGACATTCCAGTGATCCGGCCTAGTTTTTATCACAATCACGTACAGTCTGCAACGGATGGTCTCCACTTGTTACCTAACTTTAAAAAGTTACAGTGCGTCGCACTGTTCAATTTCTTGTAGGTACACCGTTCCCTACTTCCTATATCGCGATTGACCTAGTGCAGTGTAGGCAGAGTCTACCCTATAATCCACGATGAAAGCGTAATCATAAGAATAAGATACAACAACAAAAGATTACCGTCAAGTACAAGTCCGTATTTAGAGACTTTCGTTGGTTCGATTTATGGCCGGTCCCAATATTCAACTAAAATTTAACTAAAAGTGACAATCGTAACTGACAATTAAAATTCTTGAAGTTTTGCGTTTCAATATTCACAAAGAGATTGACATTTCAACAATTGGTTGCAAGTGACTGTTGAGAGGGACAACTTCTTATTATTGATAGGTTACTTCATACAAAACATAATTTAGGCGTTTCAATAACACACTGACTGATAACTATTGTTAACAATGGCGACAAACTGTTACAGATTGGGCATTCTAATCTATACTAATGTTAAAAAGCTGAAGAATTTGTTTGTTTGTTTAAAAATTTATTGAGTAAGGCTTTAGGCTATAAACATCACGCTAATTATTTTGCCTAAATAATACACTGAGTCTTCTAGCAGATTTTTCTCTCCATTTTAAGCGCAATTGCTACGGACGGCTTCAACTGTTACAGCACCGAATTCACTTGAGATGGACCTCCAAGCTTTCTCCTTTAACTTGTCGATCGTTGTGTTTGTAGCGTTTGAATGACTGGATACTTAGCAATTAGCGTATCTAGAAGAACACAATTTCATCTTTACTCATTTGCTTTGCTTTTATTCAAAGAAAATATTTGTCAATTAAAATCATGTTAAATTATTATAATACTTTGTTAATACTTACAATTTTAATTGAAGCCATTTTTTATATTTCTATTATTTTATTATATTCAGTCAGGAAGTCCTATTATTCTTTCACAGTTTCAATTTACAAACTGACTTACACTGACGTATAGGACCGTCGCTTTGACAGCCAAGAATAAGACAAGCCTAAAAATCCGTTACAAGCAACGTGAATCACTAAGAATTAAAAAAAGATACGAATTCGTATTATTTTTAATTTAAAATATTCTTTATAAGGCTAACAAAATCATATTTAGAGTATTTGATAAATAAATTATATTAAAATATCATTAATTATTATCGCCATTTAGAAACATCATTGTTATTAGTAGAAGGTGTAAAACGGGACGTTTGAGAGGGAAAGGTTTACCTATGACAGCCTCTCTATCTACATTTAATCTTCGATAGGCACGTCAAAAAGAAATATTGAAACGCCAGTTACAGTTACTTTAACTTTTACTGTTTATCAGGGATGGCTATCCATCATTGACTGACAACACGTTATTGGGACCGGCCGTTAAAGTGCCAAGTACTTATCGACACCGCAATGACGGTTAGACTATGTCGTAGCACGATAACTACTTCGCTTCGCTGTCACTTGATGTTCCGTACTAATGACCGTTCTGACATATTAGTTAACGTCCCGTAATGTCAGTTATTTTTAAAATACGTACGAAAATTGATCTGTGGATACACTTTTTCTTGCTGACTTGCCTTATAGTGTTAGTTAAGTTAATAATTCTATTTCTAGGGCATTTTGCGACCGAGTCCAACCAATAGAGGGCGCTATGGAGCTACTATTAGCAGCCGGATTCGTTCAGCAAAAATTAGAAAATAATGGTGTCGAAGAAGATTATCTAGTCTTCAATAAAGATAACGTCCCTTCTGTTGAGAGCTTGACGGTAAAAAGAATAGAATATATCAATTTCGTACTAAAGCTTATGCGCATTGAATTTTTAAAAAAATAATTGGTTATATTGGCGGGACTCGAACTCACGATCACCTGCGTACAGCGCCATCGCTCTATATAGACTAGCTGGCTAAGGTCTGCATAGATGTGTTTAGTTAGGAAAAATAGCAATTTAAAAAAATATTTGTTTTATTTGCAGCCAAAATAAAAAAAGTAAGATTATTATCATCTTGAATATAAAAACATCATTAGTATACAGCACAATACTTGAATCAAACAATAATGATCCATAATTTCCAGACATTAATAGATGCACTCCGGTCAGCGGAGCCCATACAACTCGAGTTGGATAGAAACTTGCAAGTGCTCCTACCCTCACAAGCGGCTGCTAAAGTGCAACTACCTTCATCTTTTTACGCACTTTCTCCGGAGGAAATCAAAAGAGAACAACAGTTAAGGTATATGTTTATTAATATTAGGAAAGTAGTATGATTATCTCTATAGCTCAGTTGTGAAACGTGTTATTTAGTTATTTTAATGGGGAGGGTTTGGGTTTGATTTCTATGAAAACATGGTATCGTGCAAGTTCGATCACCAATTTTTGATTAAAATTGCCTAAATAAATAGAGAAATCTGTCTGTCCAACAAGAGGAAAACACCTTAGTTAGGTTAGTTTGAGATTGGAAATATTTATGACCGGGGGCTCGAACCCATAATCTCAGCGTTTCATGCTGCTCTTACTCATAGTGAGCTATCGTGATTATATTGGTAGAACAGATTTTCAATTTTATTATAAATGTTTATTCTGACGTAACTACTTTATTTAATACCGCCTAACTGTGTATTAAACGTAATTAACTGGTTACAGGACAGAGGCGATTGAAAGATCTCAAATGTTGCGCACAAAAGCGATGCGTGAAAAGGACGAATTGAGAGAAATGAAGAAATATAAGTTTGCCATAATTCGGATACGGTTTCCGGACGGAATATTATTGCAGGTGCGTTTTTACATAAAGACGGTTTGTATACTTCATTTAATATATTTACATTAGTTACTCTCACTTAAGTAAATCTAACTGAATATTTAAGTCTTTGAAAAGAAAAATAAAAATAACTGTGTAACTTACGTTTATCACGTAAGTTACACTCGTACTTAAATATGTACTTATCGTACAATTTATCGACTTAACTGTTAAAAACGAGAAGTTTTTCACTAAGATCCCACGTTTCAGATGCTCTACAGCAAAATAAATTAAATGTGATTTAACTAACGTTTTTTGCGTAAGAAGAATTTTATTTAAAACAGCAGATACTGATTTAAGTATTTTTAACTAGCTTATTTCGACTAAAAATTTAATAATGTTTTTTGTCAATCACATCATAATTAAGAAAAACCTTTTATGTTTTCAGTAAATGCATAAAATCCCCTCTTTTTTTCATAACTTAAGAACTTTTTTTTTTCAGGGCACATTTTCCGTGTACGAGCGGTTTATGGAAATCCAAGAGTTTGTACAAGAAAACTTGGAGCACAGCGGTTTGCCGTTCGTCCTAAATACGCCAACAGGACACAAGCTTATCCTAGACGAGGATGCGAATAAGACCCTTATAGACCTTCGATTAGTACCAGCCACAGTATTGAATTTCGCCTGGCACTCATCTGTCATTGAAGAAATCAATAAAAGCCCCAATAAGGATATGTATTTGAAGCCAGACGTCATGGTTTTAGTTCGAGAGGTGTGAAGGTAAACCCCCCCCCCCCCACACTTTTACATTTAGGAATATCGGTAGCAATACACGGATTACGTTGATTAAGTGTAATCCGTGTATTGTGGGGCGAATATAACAGACTATACGCATTAGCGTACAAATAAAATAGTCTACGCTTGTTTGATCAATGAAACGGACACAGAAATGTGTTCCCCCATGTCTAACGGGATTGTACACTTAGCTATTGTGTTACTACAATTTATATTAAATATACTCTTCAGCAAAAAAAAATGTGCATTTACAGACATTTACTTGCATAATATATTTTACTTATGATATAAGGTTTCGTCGTTACACAGGAATGTTATTTGTATATTATGTTTTTACTGCTACGATTGATTGTCAACTAGTTTTATAGAATTGTACCTTTCACGTTCCTATAATTAAACCACTAAGCATTGAAAATTACTGTTTTGACTTAATATATTTATCTTAGTGTTGTTCAATAAAGCACCTCGTCTGAAAATGGGAATTATTTTTCTTAATTGGCACATTGTGTATTCTTGTCTTTTTCTTTTTTTGTCAAATCTTTTTATAGCTTGTAATTTTGTAATATAATTGCCTTCAATAATTCTGAACACACGGCGTTAATCCATTAGCTTATTTCTTTTTGTTGATCACATGAATTAAAGAAACATAATGTTACGGGTTAAGGCAAAAAATATTGTTTTACCATAGTAGTTGTTATTTTGTTCACCTTAAATTCACTCCATTTTGATATGCTAATTATTTTGGTATAAACAAGATATTCAATTCACATATTACATTTTAATATTGTTATTTGTGTTTTACTCGGTACTTAACGAATAGGATTGAATTAATTTATTTATTGTGATAAAACATATTGACGCCATAAAATGTCTGTCATCTGACTGTAATCATACTCCAGAGGTTCAAAGAGAGGGCAGCGCTGTGCTTATAGCTGCCACAAATAAAAATTTCAGTCTTAATCTAATGAATAATTTGCATGTGATAAACATAATCTTTATTTTATCAATCGTTTACAATCATTTATGGTACGCAGATAGGTGGTGTGGCGGTTTTAAAAGAAATATCCGAGATAATTTTAAATTTTTGTTAGCGTTCTTAATTCCTAGAAATAGACTTTTATGTAAATTTTAATCAAGTGAATAAAACAATTTCCAGAAACACAACTCAATATTGTAAAAAAAGGTGGTCTTTCGAGTCAGACACTTAACATGCGACCAAATTATCGAACGCCTCATCTTCTGGCACCGTGTTCTCAACTGTGAGTGACTTAGTGCAATCCTGGGTTTTGTAGATCCCAACCAGACGGTTACAAGCCTCAAACATGTTGTATCGCAGCGAAATTATTATAAATTGTGCGTTCTTTGTACGCTCCTGAAAGACAAAATAGAAAAACAACCACCTTATTAAAAAAAAATCAAATATGTTTAGCAGAAAAACTTACGAAGTTAAGATATCTCTCGAAGTTACATTTTAACAAAATACTGTGTGCCAAAACATAGTTGTGGCAAAGAATATAAATGTGTTATAATACGGCCGACGTAACTTGGCAAGTTTGGCAAGTGGTAATAGCGAGGAGCGCGGGACGGATCTAGGCTAGAGATTGACCCATTGTCAACACAATCGACCGTTTATTCTATTAAATTTCGTTTTTTAATCGTATGCGATATTGTAGTAAATGGATTTATGAGCACGAATGGTGTTATTAATAAATGATTACTTTTAAAGGAAAATAAAACCATTAAAAGCTTGTTTTTTTTATTGGACAACGTGATATAGTTAAATATGACTAATTATTTATATAAGATCAATTTTTACATATTTTTACCTTCTTTAAAGCTATTCATACAAATATTTTTCTGCGATCCAATTTTGTCTATTTCTATAGGAATCGATTAAACGACACTCTCGAGGAACGAGTATAGAAATCTCTATTGGGTTATTTCGTAAAGCTTCGTGCATAATCGGTAATGTGCGGTAAACAGTAGTGTGTCTCGCTCACTCCTTGGAGTTTATTTCGTTATCTCTGTCCTGAGCGCAGTTTTGTTATACTTTAGTTTTGTCTTAGTATTTTAGTAAAAGATAAGTATTTGTAGCCCTTATTTTCTTTGAATTAATTATTGGTATTTATTTTTGCCTGCTATAGGTAAGTTTATTTATCCCAGTAACAAAAATAAATGGCAGTATTAGTTTTCTTTACGAGTGTACATGCGCCAAAGTTCGTCTAACCTATGTTCAGGCTTGCCAAGTTACGTCGGCCGTATAATACTTATATATAGACACTGATGTCATTAATTAATTGAATAAAGCACATACATACCTTAATATAATTAGCAACTATAGATATATTCTTAAAGTCTAAAGCCGCATCAATTTCGTCCATGACGTAAAGAGGCGTCGGCTTATAGTAGTGTAGCGCAAATACCAAAGCAAGCGAAGACAATGTTTTTTCACCTCCAGATAGGTTCGATATATTTTTCCACGATTTATTTGGAGGTCGGACACTGAAAAGGAAGTTTTTTTTAGTATAAAATAAATAGAATTTTAATTCTTAGTGAGTTAAATTTTTAATCTCGTACGCATTTTCGGCGCAATATAATTTCAACCTTAATAGTAAGTCTTAAGTTTCAATTTTGGTAAAATACTGTAACCATTATTCATACATGTTCCAATCTACGTCAATGCATATATTGTTTGGACTAATATTTATTTTAGATACATGTTTAAATACCTTAATGTTTATATAATATTGTTGATTACTACTCTAATAAAGTAAAAAAACTACATAAAAGGTAATTTTTCAAGAATAAATTTACCTGAAAATAATTCCTTCTGTAAACGGGTCAAGTGAATCCACCAGTTCTAATTCAGCATCACCCCCTAAAGTTATCATCTGGTACATTTCTTTCAGTTTTGTTGTTATTGTGTTAAAACCTGAAATATACGTAAAATAATAATAGTAATACATATTTATTTATTAAATCAGGCTTTATTGAATACAAATGAGATTATAAATAAGGAGTGCCATGGGCGGCCTTTAATTCAATTTATTTGCCACTAATCGTAGTGGATAGTATGTCTGAATTCTGATCAAGTGTCGGTCAGTGAAACGGTCATTTAAATGTATCCGATTCATGTCTCGCAAAGAAACAACGGGAATTCACTCTTTAAAGTCTTTACCAATTTTTAACATACCACATAAAAAGTCGGTGGTCCTCTTCTTTCTTAACTCATCGTACAAATTACGCATTTCATTCCTCTTTGTGGTGATTTCGTCCAGTTCTGCCGCCCTTTTAAGATACAAATCCTCTTTAGCTCTGAAATCCTAATAAACATAAACACGATTAAAATTTTCATAACAAGTAGTGTTTGTTGTTTGCGACTCCTATTAATGGAAAAACAATTGAACTCTTCATAAATTGTATAAGACTTTCGCAGCCTTTTTGCAAAGCTACTGGGGTTTTCGAGCTGTTAGGGCATGCATGGGCCATCGACAACCAAACGGGCTTTAAGCTGAAGTGTACCAAACCCTTAATTTTTCTTGTAATCATTTCACTTGATTAATAAAGTAAATTGTCACGCCATCTGTGATTCATAAGAAGCAACTAGAAGACAATAAATTTTACTTTTTAAATTAAGTTTTAAGAGAAAAAGTAGTTATGTGTGTATAAATAAACCTTGTAAACGATTTTACCTGTATAGCCTGCAAGTTAGGCTTGTTGTCACCTATTCTAGCTTTCTGAGCAGTCAGTCGATTCCTCAACTCTTCTACGGAGAATTCTTCCAGTTCCACGCTGGTGTGCACGACTAGTGGAGTCGGTCTGGTAATACCGGGCATCTCGATCCCGGGATCTTCCAATTTTAGAGATTGCAGCTGAAAATGTTTTTGGCCATCAGAAAAAAAACTTATATTATAGTTAGAAGTTTAAACTAATTAAATAACAAAACAATTAATGTAAAATGACGCGCTCGTTGGTATAATGGTACCCATGCCTTGCTAATGATCAACGAGACGCGGATTCGGTCCCTACAGAATCCCATTTGTTTCTAAACCATAATTATTTTAAAACATATTGGACGTCGTCTGCAAATCTGGGTATTGAATAGGTGGTAGGAATATTGACATTTTGTCATGAACCACCGTCCACAATTTAAAAAATCGTGAAGATTAATCGCATTTTGGCTTCAGGTTGTCGATTTCCAATCCCAAAATAAAGTTGACAGCATATTGTTCAAATTGCTGAAGATTTTAACGTCCATCAAGTGAATCGCACTTCTGGTTAAATGATTTTTAAATGTCCCCACATATGGGTTTATGTTCTTTCCGACCCACACATAGACGATTTCGAGCCACGAATGTAGTAACACATTGTAAGACTAAATTTTAAAACCAATCAAGTGTTACCTGCATTATCATTTTTGTAATATTTCTTAAATTAATTAATTTAATATCTATCTGTAAATGAATGTATCAAACCTCTCTTTCCCACTGCGGTGTCTTGTTGGTACAGTCCTGTATAGATTTCTCCATTTTACTGACAGAGTTATTGGCCTCCAACCGTTCGCTCTTCAATTTATTTTCGTTTTCTTGCAATTTCGCTATCTCCTTACGCAGACCAGTGAACTCGCTCGTGCCTTCGCTTATTTTCTCTCCTAGCTATAAAAAAAAATAGAAATGACTATATAGATCTGATCACCAAAATTTTCAATCTAAAATAGATTTTCAGTTTATCTAAAGCTATTCCTATCGACCTCTGTATACCTCATCAAACTCCTTCTGTAGATCAGCAATACTCAAAGTAAGTTGTTTCTTCTGATTCTTTAGACTTTCCAAATTTTCTTCTGTCTCTTTCAAATCCACCTCCATTTGTGCTACTTTGTCTTTACATTTCTTCGCATTTCTGGAAACAGTATTAAAAAAAATTCATTTTTTCAAAATAATTGTTGTATTAAATTATTGACATCTCAGGCAAAAGTAGGGGTCAACTGAAGAATTAGTTTAAAAATAACTTTTACTTTTGATTAGGTATTGAGGACTTCCCCTAATCACAAAAATCATAGTAAAAGCAACAGATTTAGTGGAACATTTTAGATCTACACTGATTAATATTGAAATTTTACCGATTTTCTCACCTGATGCTAGTATTGATGCCCACGCGCAACTTAGTGATCTCCGCATTGACTTTGTCGATCTTCTTACCAAGTTCTTCAACAGACTTCTGTAATTCTTTCACTTTGTTCCCAGCTACTTTTGCTATTTGAGCGTCCACGCCGTCTACTTCTTTCTCTTGCTGACTTGCCTTAAAGTGTTAGTTAAGTTAATAATTCTATTTCTAGGGCATTTTGCGACCGAGTCCAACCAATAGAGGGCGCTATGGATTTACTATTAGCAGCCGGATTCGTTCAGCAAAAATTAGAAAATAATGGTGTCGAAGAAGATTATCTAGTCTTCAATAAAGATAACGTCCCTTCTGTTGAGAGCTTGACGGTAAAAAGAATAGAATATATCAATTTCGTACTAAAGCTTATGCGCATTGAATTTTTAAAAAAATAATTGGTTATATTGGCGGGACTCGAACTCACGATCACCTGCGTACAGCGCCATCGCTCTATATAGACTAGCTGGCTAAGGTCTGCATAGATGTGTTTAGTTAGGAAAAATAGCAATTAAAAAAATATTTGTTTTATTTGCAGCCAAAATAAAAAAAGTAAGATTATTATCATCTTGAATATAAAAACATCATTAATATACAGCACAATACTTGAATCAAACAATAATGATCCATAATTTCCAGACATTAATAGATGCACTCCGGTCAGCGGAGCCCATACAACTCGAGTTGGATAGAAACTTGCAAGTGCTCCTACCCTCACAAGCGGCTGCTAAAGTGCAACTACCTTCATCTTTTTACGCACTTTCTCCGGAGGAAATCAAAAGAGAACAACAGTTAAGGTATATGTTTATTAATATTAGGAAAGTAGTATGATTATCTCTATAGCTCAGTTGTGAAACGTGTTATTTAGTTATGCTACGGGGAGGGTTTGGGTTTGATTTCTGTGAAAACATGGTATCGTGCAAGTTCGATCACCAATTTTTGATTAAAATTGCCTAAATAAATAGAGAAATCTGTCTGTCCAACAAGAGGAAAACACCTTAGTTAGGTTAGTTTGAGATTGGAAATATTTATGACCGGGGGCTCGAACCCATAATCTCAGCGTTTCATGCTGCTCTTACTCATAGTGAGCTATCGTGATTATATTGGTAGAACAGATTTTCAATTTTATTATAAATGTTTATTCTGACGTAACTACTTTATTTAATACCGCCTAACTGTGTATTAAACGTAATTAACTGGTTACAGGACAGAGGCGATTGAAAGATCTCAAATGTTGCGCACAAAAGCGATGCGTGAAAAGGACGAATTGAGAGAAATGAAGAAATATAAGTTTGCCATAATTCGGATACGGTTTCCGGACGGAATATTATTGCAGGTGCGTTTTTACATAAAGACGGTTTGTATACTTCATTTAATATATTTACATTAGTTACTCTCACTTAAGTAAATCTAACTGAATATTTAAGTCTTTGAAAAGAAAAATAAAAATAACTGTGTAACTTACGTTTATCACGTAAGTTACACTCGTACTTAAATATGTACTTATCGTACATATTTAAGTACGACTTAACTGTTAAAAACGAGAAGTTTTTCACTAAGATCCCACGTTTCAGATGCTCTACAGCAAAATAAATTAAATGTGATTTAACTAACGTTTTTTGCGTAAGAAGAATTTTATTTAAAACAGCAGATACTGATTTAAGTATTTTTAACTAGCTTATTTCGACTAAAAAATTAATAATTTTTGTCAATCACATCATAATTAAGAAAAACCTTTTATGTTTTCAGTAAATGCATAAAATCCCCTCTTTTTTTCATAACTTAAGAACTTTTTTTTTTCAGGGCACATTTTCCGTGTACGAGCGGTTTATGGAAATCCAAGAGTTTGTACAAGAAAACTTGGAGCACAGCGGTTTGCCGTTCGTCCTAAATACGCCAACAGGACACAAGCTTATCCTAGACGAGGATGCGAATAAGACCCTTATAGACCTTCGATTAGTACCAGCCACAGTATTGAATTTCGCCTGGCACTCATCTGTCATTGAAGAAATCAATAAAAGCCCCAATAAGGATATGTATTTGAAGCCAGACGTCATGGTTTTAGTTCGAGAGGTGTGAAGGTAAACCCCCCCCCCCCCACACTTTTACATTTAGGAATATCGGTAGCAATACACGGATTACGTTGATTAAGTGTAATCCGTGTATTGTGGGGCGAATATAACAGACTATACGCATTAGCGTACAAATAAAATAGTCTACGCTTGTTTGATCAATGAAACGGACACAGAAATGTGTTCCCCCATGTCTAACGGGATTGTACACTTAGCTATTGTGTTACTACAATTTATATTAAATATACTCTTCAGCAAAAAAAATGTGCATTTACTTACAGACTTGCATAATATATTTTACTTATGATATAAGGTTTCGTCGTTACACTGGAATGTTATTTGTATATTATGTTTTTACTGCTTCGATTGATTGTCAACTAGTTTTATAGAATTGTACCTTTCACGTTCCTATAATTAAACCACTAAGCATTGAAAATTACTGTTTTGACTTAATATATTTATCTTAGTGTTGTTCAATAAAGCACCTCGTCTGAAAATGGGAATTATTTTTCTTAATTGGCACATTGTGTATTCTTGTCTTTTTCTTTTTTTGTCAAATCTTTTTATAGCTTGTAATTTTGTAATATATTACTAATTGCCTTCAATAATTCTGAACACACGGCGTTAATCCATTAGCTTATTTCTTTTTGTTGATCACATGAATTAAAGAAACATAATGTTACGGGTTAAGGCAAAAAATATTGTTTTACCATAGTAGTTGTTATTTTGTTCACCTTAAATTCACTCCATTTTGATATGCTAATTATTTTGGTATAAACAAGATATAATTCACATATTAAATTTTAATATTGTTATTTGTGTTTTACTCGGTACTTAACGAATAGGATTGAATTAATTTATTTATTGTGATAAAACATATTGACGCCATAAAATGTCTGTCATCTGACTGTAATCATACTCCAGAGGTTCAAAGAGAGGGCAGCGCTGTGCTTATAGCTGCCACAAATAAAAATTTCAGTCTTAATCTAATGAATAATTTGCATGTGATAAACATAATCTTTATTTTATCAATCGTTTACAATCATTTATGGTACGCAGATAGGTGGTGTGGCGGTTTTAAAAGAAATATCCGAGATAATTTTAAATTTTAACTTTTTGTTAGCGTTCTTAATTCCTAGAAATAGACTTTTACGTAAATTTTAATCAAGTGAATAAAACAATTTCCAGAAAAACAACTCAATATTGTAAAAAAAGGTGGTCTTTCGAGTCAGACACTTAACATGCGACCAAATTATCGAACGCCTCATCTTCTGGCACCGTGTTCTCAACTGTGAGTGACTTAGTGCAATCCTGGGTTTTGTAGATCCCAACCAGACGGTTACAAGCCTCAAACATGTTGTATCGCAGCGAAATTATTATAAATTGTGCGTTCTTTGTACGCTCCTGAAAGACAAAATAGAAAAACAACCACCTTATTAAAAAAAAATCAAATATGTTTAGCAGAAAAACTTACGAAGTTAAGATATCTCTCGAAGTTACATTTTAACAAAATACTGTGTGCCAAAACATAGTTGTGGCAAAGAATATAAATGTGTTATAATACGGCCGACGTAACTTGGCAAGTTTGGCAAGTGGTAATAGCGAGGAGCGCGGGACGGATCTAGGCTAGAGATTGACCCATTGTCAACACAATCGACCGTTTATTCTATTAAATTTCGTTTTTTAATCGTATGCGATATTGTAGTAAATGGATTTATGAGCACGAATGGTGTTATTAATAAATGATTACTTTTAAAGGAAAATAAAACCATTAAAAGCTTGTTTTTTTTATTGGACAACGTGATATAGTTAAATATGACTAATTATTTATATAAGATCAATTTTTACATATTTTTACCTTCTTTAAAGCTATTCATACAAATATTTTTCTGCGATCCAATTTTGTCTATTTCTATAGGAATCGATTAAACGACACTCTCGAGGAACGAGTATAGAAATCTCTATTGGGTTATTTCGTAAAGCTTCGTGCATAATCGGTAATGTGCGGTAAACAGTAGTGTGTCTCGCTCACTCCTTGGAGTTTATTTCGTTATCTCTGTCCTGAGCGCAGTTTTGTTATACTTTAGTTTTGTCTTAGTATTTTAGTAAAAGATAAGTATTTGTAGCCCTTATTTTCTTTGAATTAATTATTGGTATTTATTTTTGCCTGCTATAGGTAAGTTTATTTATCCCAGTAACAAAAATAAATGGCAGTATTAGTTTTCTTTACGAGTGTACATGCGCCAAAGTTCGTCTAACCTATGTTCAGGCTTGCCAAGTTACGTCGGCCGTATAATACTTATATATAGACACTGATGTCATTAATTAATTGAATAAAGCACATACATACCTTAATATAATTAGCAACTATAGATATATTCTTAAAGTCTAAAGCCGCATCAATTTCGTCCATGACGTAAAGAGGCGTCGGCTTATAGTAGTGTAGCGCAAATACCAAAGCAAGCGAAGACAATGTTTTTTCACCTCCAGATAGGTTCGATATATTTTTCCACGATTTATTTGGAGGTCGGACACTGAAAAGGAAGTTTTTTTTAGTATAAAATAAATAGAATTTTAATTCTTAGTGAGTTAAATTTTTAATCTCGTACGCATTTTCGGCGCAATATAATTTCAACCTTAATAGTAAGTCTTAAGTTTCAATTTTGGTAAAATACTGTAACCATTATTCATACATGTTCCAATCTACGTCAATGCATATATTGTTTGGACTAATATTTATTTTAGATACATGTTTAAATACCTTAATGTTTATATAATATTGTTGATTACTACTCTAATAAAGTAAAAAAACTACATAAAAGGTAATTTTTCAAGAATAAATTTACCTGAAAATAATTCCTTCTGTAAACGGGTCAAGTGAATCCACCAGTTCTAATTCAGCATCACCCCCTAAAGTTATCATCTGGTACATTTCTTTCAGTTTTGTTGTTATTGTGTTAAAACCTGAACATACGTAAAATAATAATAGTAATACATATTTATTTATTAAATCAGGCTTTATTGAATACAAATGAGATTATAAATAAGGAGTGCCATGGGCGGCCTTTAATTCAATTTATTTGCCACTAATCGTAGTGGATAGTATGTCTGAATTCTGATCAAGTGTCGGTCAGTGAAACGGTCATTTAAATGTATCCGATTCATGTCTCGCAAAGAAACAACGGGAATTCACTCTTTAAAGTCTTTACCTTAAAAAAGTAAATGACAACATACCACATAAGAAGTCGGTGGTCCTCTTCTTTCTTAACTCATCGTACAAATTACGCATTTCATTCCTCTTTGTGGTGATTTCGTCCAGTTCTGCCGCCCTTTTAAGATACAAATCCTCTTTAGCTCTGAAATCCTAATAAACATATACACGATAAAAAATTTCATAACAAGTAGTGTTTGTTGTTTGCGACTCCTATTAATGGAAAAACAATTGAACTCTTCATAAATTGTATAAGACTTTCGCAGCCTTTTTGCAAAGCTACTGGGGTTTTCGAGCTGTTAGGGCATGCATGGGCCATCAACAACCAAACAGGCTTTAAGCTGTAGTGTACCAAACCCTTAATTTTTCTTGTAATCATTTATTTCACTTGAATAATAAAGTAACAATTGTCACGCCATCTGTGATTCATAAAAAGCAATTGTCAGACAATAAATTTTACTTTTTAATTTAAGTTTTAAAAGAAAAAGTAGTTAGTGTGTATAAATAAACAATGTTAACGATTTTACCTGTATAGCCTGCAAGTTAGGCTTGTTGTCACCTATTCTAGCTTTCTGAGCAGTCAGTCGATTCCTCAACTCTTCTACGGAGAATTCTTCCAGTTCCACGCTGGTGTGCACGACTAGTGGAGTCGGTCTGGTAATACCGGGCATCTCGATCCCGGGATCTTCCAATTTTAGCGATTGTAGCTGAAAATGTTTTTGGCCATCAGAAAAAAAACTTATATTATAGTTAGAAGTTTAAACTAATTAAATAACAAAACAATTAATGTAAAATGACGCGCTCGTTGGTATAATGGTACCCATGCCTTGCTAATGATCAACGAGACGCGGATTCGGTCCCTACAGAATCCCATTTGTTTCTAAACCATAATTATTTTAAAACATATTGGACGTCGTCTGCAAATCTGGGTATTGAATAGGTGGTAGGAATATTGACATTTTGTCATGAACCACCGTCCACAATTTAAAAAATCGTGAAGATTAATCGCATTTTGGCTTCAGGTTGTCGATTTCCAATCCCAAAATAAAGTTGACAGCATATTGTTCAAATTGCTGAAGATTTTAACGTCCATCAAGTGAATCGCACTTCTGGTTAAATGATTTTTAAATGTCCCCACATATGGGTTTATGTTCTTTCCGACCCACACATAGACGATTTCGAGCCACGAATGTAGTAACACATTGTAAGACTAAATTTTAAAACCAATCAAGTGTTACCTGCATTATCATTTTTGTAATATTTCTTAAATTAATTAATTTAATATCTATCTGTAAATGAATGTATCAAACCTCTCTTTCCCACTGCGGTGTCTTGTTGGTACAGTCCTGTATAGATTTCTCCATTTTACTGACAGAGTTATTGGCCTCCAACCGTTCGCTCTTCAATTTATTTTCGTTTTCTTGCAATTTCGCTATCTCCTTACGCAGACCAGTGAACTCGCTCGTGCCTTCGCTTATTTTCTCTCCTAGCTATAAAAAAAAATAGAAATGACTATATAGATCTGATCACCAAAATTTTCAATCTAAAATAGATTTTCAGTTTATCTAAAGCTATTCCTATCGACCTCTGTATACCTCATCAAACTCCTTCTGTAGATCAGCAATACTCAAAGTAAGTTGTTTCTTCTGATTCTTTAGACTTTCCAAATTTTCTTCTGTCTCTTTCAAATCCACCTCCATTTGTGCTACTTTGTCTTTACATTTCTTCGCATTTCTGGAAACAGTATTAAAAAAAATTCATTTTTTCAAAATAATTGTTGTATTAAATTATTGACATCTCAGGCAAAAGTAGGGGTCAACTGAAGAATTAGTTTAAAAATAACTTTTACTTTTGATTAGGTATTGAGGACTTCCCCTAATCACAAAAATCATAGTAAAAGCAACAGATTTAGTGGAACATTTTAGATCTACACTGATTAATATTGAAATTTTACCGATTTTCTCACCTGATGCTAGTATTGATGCCCACGCGCAACTTAGTGATCTCCGCATTGACTTTGTCGATCTTCTTACCAAGTTCTTCAACAGACTTCTGTAATTCTTTCACTTTGTTCCCAGCTACTTTTGCTATTTGAGCGTCCACGCCGTCTACTTCTTTCTCTACCTAAAATAAAAAAATACCCTTAATTAAATTCTGTTAATGAAAACAGGTTCCTTGAAATTAAACATATTTAATATAATGATGTCAAAAAGTGAAAAAGGAATACAACACCCAAAACAAATTACTACTCAAAGGCAAAATCAATTGTATTATATAAAGATATGATTTTAAACAGGTCGACAGTGCATCTTTGTATTCTTAGTGTATGCTTTTAAAAATTTTTACCTCTCCAGCATCGTGTTTTGCTTTGGTAAGTTTCTCTTCCGCGTTTTGAACTTTACCCTCTAATCTGGACTTCTGGGCTTCGTCTACTTTGCAGGAACTTACTTTTCTCTCTTGTTGTTGGATTTGTTTCTTTGAAAATCGAAATACAATAAACATAGCTTATAGCGATTATCTATATGACCCTAATAACCAGCTCTGTATATACCATATATACAGAGCTGGTTATAAACAACCATGCATTTTTGGTAGCCATTTTGTTTACATTTATGCTGACAAGATGGCTACCGGAAATAGAAATTCTAAGCGGAAATGAAACGGAATTGGTGCAATTATGACGAAAGTCAGGCACGACTGTTTCAAATACCCTTTTAATAAGGGCGTAAGGGGCATAATACTATTGTTATTACATTTCTATGGTTTCACTAAAATTATTAATGATAGTAAGAGCTCTTGGACTTAAGAATCATTTTTATAGGTGCTTAAATAACCTGCAAATTAGGAACTTCTTCCTTCAAGCTGTTTAAATCAATTTCCAGTTTGTGAAGTTGTCTCTTGCCGTCTTGAACACTCTGTTGCAGAGACGCGTTTTTCTCATCTAGACTTGCTTGTTCGTTTCGGATCTCTGATAACCTGTGAAAAGACATGTGATGTAAATATTTAGAGTACCAAGTACATAAAATGCTTATTAATAATAAATATTTCAAAGTCGAAAAAAGATAAGTACTTGCTATAAATATTATTATATTTACAGATATCTCTTTTTTGTAGTTCTTAAATAAACGGGACCATATTTATTACGAATTGATTCTGTTGACCAGGTCTAATCTATACAAATATATAAAGCTAAAGAGTTTGTTTTTTTGTTTGAACGCGCTAGTCTCAGGAAGTACGGGTTCGAATTGAAAATTATTTTTGTGTTGGTTAAAGCATTCAAAGCACTATAAAACTCCCCACTAATACAAGCGAAGAACAGCTTGTGGATAATGACAATTGGGAAGATTATTAATTTTATGGGTTCCAGGCGACCATAAACGGTTCAAGATACCCAAAAATGTGTATGAGAGAATGATTTCTCTTTAAATGATCTAAAAAGGCAAGAAGGACGGGAAGGGACGCGGCCGACGTCGTAGGTAAAAACACCCACCCGCCCTGGCTTCGCTCGGGGACAATGCTACTAAATATGATACTAAATACACTACAGAAAAACAGGGAACGAAATAATATATAAAAACCTTCCTCTTGAATCACTCTATTTAAGCAAAACCGCATCAAGATCCGTTGCGTAGTTTTAAAGATTTAAGCGTACATAGGGACAGAAAAAGCGACTTTATTGTAAGTAGTGATTATTATCCATTACCTCTGTTCCATGCGCGAGAGTTTCTCCTCGGTCTGTTGAATAACTCTCGGGTCCTGTTCGCTTGTGTCTTGTTGGACGGAGCTGGACATCCGACCGCGGGACACAGACTTGCCACCCCCCGGACATTGTACCTGATGAGTCATACAAATTATATAAAGAGCTCGTTGAAGCGTATGAGTCCTATTATGAATTCGATAACCAGTAACGTCCAGAATGTTTGTAAGTCAAGTTTGATAAAAAAAAAAACTTAAAGATTGAGCATTCCCTATGGTAGGCAAAATACCTCATATTAATATTTATAGAAATTTCGGCTATGGACATTTGGAAATCCACTAGTAGTAGTAGAAGTCTGACCCGGACGTAATTTATTCCTTAACATTAATCTTTCCAGATTACTGTCATGCCCATTTGGTTTTTGTTAAGAATATAAACTTATCACATCTTCGATCCAGTGGTATTAAACATGGCTATCATTAGAGCGACAGTCGCGCTTTGTTTTAATATAGTGAATATTTTACTTGCATGAACTCACCAGCTATCTCTATTACGTCACCGTTGAGAGTGACAACTCGATATCTCGTGGCCCCATACGCGATTCTCGTGGCTTGCTCCAATTCCTTGGCGATTAGCGTATCGCGCAACGAGTAATAGAAGGCGGGCAAAACGCGTTCGTCTTTCACTTGCACCAAGTCGAAGAGGCGTGGCACGTTTTCGGGACTGAAATTATCAGTGAATACGATGAACGAATTGAATACGAAACATTTGTGTAGACTATTTTGAAAAGTAATAAAACTTTTATTTTAAGTAATTTAACTAATTTTTTTCACTATGGTAAACTTATGATTATAATGAAGTTTCCTTTTCTCTTTATTTTACCTGTGTGTAACTTTTCTGTTCACGCTCTATAGAGTTATTTTAATCAGTTTTACAATAACACTTACTATGTATTCTTCTTCTCGTAATATCGTTTGAGATGCTGCTGTTTATCCAGCGCGATAAAAGTGGCCCGCCCTATATCGTTTTTCTTCAAAAATTCAACACACGCCTGCGCAGTGTCCACCGCATCGACGACTATGTTATCCAACGCGCCACAACAAGTCGATATCGCTACGTCGTACTTGCTGTCTATACCACCGAGGTCACCCTGTATATAAAAGTAGTTAAGATTTTTAGAATTAGTATTTTTAACCGGATTTATCGTATGCAATACGCTAATAATCAACAGGTCGTGGGTTCGATATCCACCAGGTCCAACACCCTTCTAATTCTTCAATTTATAATTTTTCTGAACATTGGACTTTCGTTCAGGTTTTTGGATGATTTGCAGCAACCGTGGTGATGGCAGGGTCTCCCCGTGGTGGTGGTCGTGTTTTAAAACGTTAAAGTTTGTTATTTAAATTAGTACTGCTCGCGTAAACTACAGGCAGTATTTTAATTAACGGTCTTACCAATCCACCGAAATCTACAACTTACCAATCTACCGAATATTCCAGGCAATCTTCCGGCCCGTTTCTCTTTCATGAGTGCATCTAGTACTCTGCCGCGCGACCTATTTGCGCTCATCGCTTGCTTCGATTCCTCTAACTGACCCCTAGATAAGAGATAGTTATAAATATAGTGGGAATTTCGTATTCCACCCAGGTCTAAGAGTGAAAAACAGAGTCGCCTTTCGGTTTCAGTCATTGAATTTTCGATGTCCAGAGCAAAAAGCGTATTATAATATAGTAAAATATTTTGTAGAGAAAACACTTTATCCGTTTAAAATGCGATATGTGTTAGTTAAAGTTATTTGAAAATTATTTTTAAATTCGGCCCGACGTTTTCCCGTCTATCCGTGATCATGGCTGCTGGAAAACATCCGAAACATGGGGCCGAATATAAAAATAATTTTCAAATAAGTTTAAATAACACATAACGCCTTTTAAACCGTAATAGTGTTTACTGTAGTAGTACAGTAAACTGCAAACAGTATTTTGTAATGTCTTGTACACTAAATCGGACTGAAGAAAGCTATTAAGTTTACCTTAAGGTTCTGGTTTCCTTCAAAACGTTTGCCTCTTCATTCTTTAAGACTTGTATCCTATTGCGCATTTGAGTCAAATCTTGCTCTTGGGTCGGCACATTTTTCGACAACGTCCCGCGTAAACTGGAAATTAAGTTTTGTCGTATTAGAAAAGGTGTAGAATAGTATGATAAAGTGATTACATTTTGAAAACTTTTACAAAAACATTGTGCTTTAAAGTTGGATAATTTAAATTAAATTCAATTAATCGATTTTCAAATTCAAAGCAACAAAAAAATGAAGCCAGAAACAATATCTGCATAAGTTTGAAAGCTGGTGTTTCTAAATCCGTGCATAACTGCTTAAATTGCTTACTCACGTGACATCTATTTTGAATACTACTATTTTAACGGTTTTAAATGTGAAACATATTATTAAGGTTATTTATTTCACGAGCCGATGTTTTAGATGCTTTACAGCCATCGTAGTCCTCCATGACAAAGAAGTCTAAGATAAGTAAAATAATATTTTATTTTTAGCGTTTTATTTAATTTAATTATTCCTAAGAATCGCGGGCGTTTTAAATCAATCACATAAGCATGATTTTTTTTAAAAAGCGTACTTTTAAAAAATATTAATTTTTATTTAATTAATATTTTCAATTACTATACTTGACGTCGACAAATTTGTTAATTCTTTTAACATCTATCTTCTATACTAATATATCAAGCTGAAGTGTTTGTTTGTTCGTATGTTTGAAAGCGCTAATCTGGTTCAAATCTTTTAAGATTAACTTGCAACGACGCGACACGGGTAATAGCTTAAATTTATAAAGATAAAAAGGAAGGTTCGCAAAAACAATTGTATGTCCATTAATAACTATTATACGCGGACGAAGTCGCTGACACAGCTAGTAAACAATAAAAAGATTGAATGAACTCCTTTTTGTGACACAATGATATAAATTACTAACGTTTTCTTCTCCTCGAAATCACTGGCCGCCTTCTCGTATGCCTCTCTCATTCTCTCCAATTTCTCTGTCTCTTTCAGTTCGGTGCTCAGGTATATTTTGAGCTCTGACTCTGCCAGATTGAAATTCTTGTTCGCTTCGTCGACTATCTTCTTTAAATCCCTCAATTTGACTAGAAATGAGTCCTTTTGCTCTTGCAGACCTTTGGTTTTTTCTCTGAAATATATTATACATTCATATAAGGTCACTGGTTTATTTTAGGACAGGTGGGAAACCTTCAAATCATCCAGTTACTTGACAAAATCTTATTATATTTTCCATCTAACTTTTAATATCATCTTTTGTTTTATTGTCAGTATTCATAGATAGCCTCAATTTTGAATACATAATTATAATTAATTATGTACTCTAAATTAAAGCGCAATAATAATATTATACGTATGGTATGGTTAAGGTTAAGTTGAATTCATTTTATTAAGTTATATAATAAAATGTACTTAGTATCGCTTAATACTTATGTTGCTGGCGGGAAAAAGGTCCCTTATGAAAAACCTTTGGAGGTTAGGTTTTTCATGCACAAATGTATGTCTTACATACCTAACACCGGCCATAGCCGTCTGCAACTCATCGTCAGACCGCTTTTTATTATCCACGTGCTTAGCAAGCAGTGCTTCACAATCGGCTATTTCACGTTTGTTCTTTTCTGGGACCTAAGAATGAATGAAATAGAATAAAGTCTTCTTTTCAAGAGACTCAACAATTATAGTGAGTCAATATAGAGGCAAGCTTGAGGTTTACTCAAAGGTCAAGAAATTACAGCACTTGGCCATTTCATATTTCTCATTTCTTCGTACTTCCGTACATAGATAAAAATCTATGTTCAGAAAGAAGTACATACAGTTTTTAAATAAAGAATCACGAATCGAACTATTAGCTATTGCATTCACCTAGCCACTAAAATTTGGTAAGTGTCTAAATTTGCTTACCATTTCCAAATCAACGAGTTTCCCCCTTTCAGTTTTCAGCATTTCCTCCAAATTGTTTTTCTTCTTATTGGCCTGAGTTGTCTCCGCTTGCACGGTGACCTGTTTGCGCTTACTTGTTTGCAACTTCTCCCCTATTTCCTCTTTTTTCTTTTGCATTTCATCATATTGCCTGAAAAAAAAAACATGCTATGTGTATATTGATTAAGTTTTGCAAAGGTAACATTAGTGAACTTCCTATCAGTTTTTTGTAAATTTTAATTATTGAACATTGGCTTACAATATCTTATACAAAACGCATAAAGTATTTTGGAGGAGGCCACCACCTGACAGGGTCAGGGACCCTATAAAAATGAATTTAGTTACTTAGCTTACAAATAATTTCGTACATAACAGTTAATTACAAACATTAATGTCATTTTAAAATATTCCGTAATTGAACATAATAATCTTTTTAAGGAAATAAAGTTTTTTTTTTTTTTTATAAAAATTTACAATTAGTTCCTAAATTTCAAATTGACCTACTATTACTTAATTATTACAATTGTGTTAAATTCAACATACTGTGTTCCATTTTTCAATTCTCTAGTTTTTTCATGCAAATTCTCTTTGATTTCAGTTAGTTTCTCATCGATTTTACTCAAAGATTCTTTCAGCTCTTCCAGTTCTTTATTCTTGTTCTCGATGATCTTATTTGTTTCATATCTGAAATTAAACATAAACAGTGGTTATATATATATTTAAAATTATCTTTATGGTGAGCAAGCGTAGGGTTCACTCAGCCATGTAATATATAACTACAGTTTTTTTCGAGTATTACACATATAACTTCTATTTGGTATTGTTATTTAATAAATAAGTCTTGTGTAGAATAATATTTTTTCCATAGTTTTATACTCATAGTATAACTTTGGCCAAGAATCCTTTAGCTAGTGGTAACTAGTCCTTTACTCACACATATTTCTGCAATAATGTATTTCTAGTTCTCAGCGAGTTATTGGTCAGCTCCATCAAGTCTACAGCCTCTCTCATCGGCTGCTCAAGGCGTTGCTTCTCTTGCTCAACCAAGCGTACCCGATTCAGTTTGTCCTTGCGCATTTCACTGTATTCCTCTACTTTGACTGCTAATTTTTCAATTGGTTCCTTCAAGAAGTATAAGAAAACGTATGTGGGTAGTTTTACCTAAGTAAGGCTGGAGATAATCAGATTCATTTAGAAAGTAAACGGTAATTATCTATATATCTCTACTATGCCGCCACATAAAAATCTGCTGTTTAACGATCGATTAAATTTAATGTGTTTTAAATCATTGGTAAAATCCAGTCTCAAATGCAAGCAAGAAAATGAAACATACCTTATACCGCGACGTTCCAATAATATCTTCCAGGTACTCGAGCATGCCAGACTCATGCTCTGTTTGAGCCTTCGGCTTCATCATGGCTATTTGTTCCACTTCACCCTGGAAAGAGAAGTTGTCTAATAATGATAAAATTATTTTTTATTGATGAATAAGAATGAAAGTTTTGGTGAAATCATTACTATACAGAGTATTTTTGGATACATTTTCAGTCCTTAAATGGTCACACAGCCAACTATTACTTGATGACTTTCTTAGTTTTTGGAAAGGACTGCTAAAAACGATGTTTTCCATTAGCGTGTTATTATTATAGCTAATTATCAATAGAAATCTGAATATAAAACGGGTGGTGGGAATATCGAAACCACGAACCACCATCCACAGATGAAGAAGTCGTGAAGTTGAATCGCGTTTCGGTTTCAGCCTGTGGATTTTCAAATTTCCAAAGCCAACATAGGCCAACAGCGCATCTTGCATCTACACAAGCTTGTCTGTCCTCATCTATCATTATAACAATATCTAACTGGCGAATTGAGTACACATACCAATTACAAGAATAATAATTTTAAATTTCATTTTTGAAAAATGTATGCTTATCTCAGGGTTTTTATACTTTATGAGGACTTTCAATGGCATTCCTTAGAATTGGATTAGAGGAGGTACAGGCGACTAATTATACGCTTAATCACATAATTGCCCTGACTTCATTATGCCAAATTTCACACTTAATCAACAAATCCTTTATAATAGAGTTCAATACTATAAAATACAAATTTCTCTTGAATAAATCATAACTGCTCTCGTGTCATAATGAAAGTACTACTTATATGCGGTAAGACTTTTTATTTTTTACTATCCTCGTTGAAAAGGAATTTGTATCTTGGACCCTTTGTGTATTTGGTTTTATGGTATTATTTCTCTTTATATTATTAGTACACATTTTTCAGCTGCCCTTTTCCTCGTAGGCATTGAAGCAAAGGAAATCGGTGTGATGTGCGCCTGCGCACCCGATGCGCTTCTGTGCGCCAGCGACCTCAACTCCTACGCCGGTGAATGCAACATGCGCTGCGCAGGACAGAACAAACAGGTCGTATTATCTGTTCTACATCCAGGGCCTTGTGGACACAGAAGTACAGAAGCAGCGAAAGCTAACTAATGGCATTGTATTAAGAGTAAAATTAATGCAAATAAATATTTGACTATCTTCAAATCAAATATCATTTATTCTTACGTTCGTATTATTTACGTCAATAAAGTTGAAATCAAGATTCTAAATTTACAACCAGTTCTCTCCAGAAAGGAAAAACTTACCATGTGTCTTGCCAACTAGCATTTACAGTTCTCCCCAAACTTTCCAAGTCTTGGGCCGGTGTCAATTCAAAGTTCCTTTGTCAACTGTCACCTGCTTTTGCGTTTGCGCAAACCATCCGCGCTTATTTTAGACCGGCCACAAAGTCTGGTGAGCACTTAGATTATGTCTATCACCCAGATGGGAGGCTCGAAAACAGCAGAGGAAATTTTTAAAAGGTTGATTGATAATTATGAATACCGTTTTTTTATGTTGGAGAAGGATACTCAAGCTTGGAGTCCATTTGATGGCAGATATAGAAGTACCCCAGCCATATAACATGTCAACAAGATACTCTATCGACATACCTTGGCTTTGGCTATTCGGAAATCTACAGACTTAAATCGAACGGATTAAACTTCGCAACTTAGTCATCTGTGGATCGAACATTATCATTCGAGTCATTAGAATTTTGGACCGGGTGGGGCATTAAACCATTACCTGCAATATAAGGAAACGATTGTGGTCCAGATCTATGCCGTGTGACCTAAGCATTTTAGCAACTTCCTTGAACTGAACCCGTCTCCCGTTAAATGTATAGAAGGACGAATTATCCTTGAACGCAGTCCTCGATACAACGATTTCACTATTGGGTACCAATGTGAAACTATCTCCTTCCTGAAAAAAAAGTTATATACCTTAATTTAAAGTTATAGTTATATACCTTAATACGCAAGTGTTAAAGTTGAAATTACATTGCGCGAGAGGTGCATGTAGTATCAACAAGTTGAAAAAATTCGACGATGAGATCTAGGACTCGGGAGCTCAATTGGTAGAGCAACAGCACGGAACGCTGACGATGCCGGTTCAAGTCCTGCCCGAGACAAAAAAATTTTTCAATTTATTTTTGATTTTTAAATTTAATGTTATATAGCTAAATTGATTTTGATTGACCGCCTCTGTAGCCAAATAGTTAAACGTATTTCCTAGCACTGCGTCAAGCGCGAGAGGTTTCGAACCCAGGTTCGAATCCCAGGGAATCAAACATAAAATTGTTTCGGTCGGGCAGCAGGGAATCGACGTCTGATCAACTTGTTTAAAAAACGGGTCAGTGAAACGGACACAGATATTTGTTCGCCCCATGCCCCACGAGGGGGAAACGGGCTTTCACACTTTAAATTGATAGTCGTATCTAACATAGTGTAAAGACTTGTTATGGATTTTATATTTATCTGATAAATTTAAATTCGGTACCCCTTTTATGTGAATACATATTATTAAGTAAGTACTACAAGTACAAGTGGGGACCCTGGAAACAAATCTGTTAATCACCCCGATCCCGTTCTTGTCCGCCTGGTAAATTCCTCATATATGTAAATAAAACACTTTCAACGGTTTAAACCACGAATACCTTTTAACTATGGCCCCAAGTTTGGGGTGCTTTGCTGCAGCCGTGAGACTTAAGATGGAGGGTGTTCCTAATGTCAAAGTTAACTCTGCTTTGTCGGGCCATAGTTAAAGAAATTAATCATAACTATTTTTTTTTGCGTTTTAAGTACAACGCTAAAGGTTTAAATTTAAAACCTTTAGCGTTGTATTTAAAAACCGACTAGCGTAAATAGATAATAGAGATATTACGTCATACATTACTCTAAAAGAATTATACAACCGCTAAACATTTATTAAAATGTTTTAATATGTATGCAAAATCAATTGGATCTATTCAGAAAAATCGAGCGTAATATGAAAATTTACGTTTATTTAATTCGGCGTGGACTCGTAAATATAAGTGATTGTATATAAGGAGCTGCGAGGGAAACGCCAAACAGTATCAATTTATTCACACAAAAATGAGATTGTTTATCATCTGTGGTGAGTACTCAATAGATATTACACAGTAGATCGCCAAGTGGATAGATACTAGACCAATAACGTTGCCGCGTTCGTTTCATCAATCAATTTTAATTAACAGAAAAGTAACCCAATATTCTTGCCCAGCCGGTTGTTACCCCGGAGTTCGAACTAACGTTCTGCTCTTATCGCAAGATCCAGTGTTCAAAACTTGGCTAAAATAAAAATGTCCGAATGCCAAATAAACCATTAATTTGTACAAATGGGCGGCATTTATTCTTATATCAAGAAAACTACGCTGAATTTACTTCTAAAACAATAAGGGACTTCATTTGTAACTTAGTAACACATAAATGTATGTCTTGGTAGAACATTACTATATTTTTAATGGTCACTTTTATTTTTTAGTGTGCGTGGCTGCGACCGCAGCTCATGCGGCAGCCAGCTTATTATGTGGCTGTCCACCAGCACCACCCGTGTGTGGCAGCGACTTCAGAACTTACAGATCGGAATGCGCCTTAGGCTGCGAGAACGTCGGAAATTATAACAAACCTGTAGTGATATATAGAGGACGTTGCGAAGATCTTCAATTCAATCCTTACAACCCAAGCCCCTACCCCTTCGATCCCTATAACCCAAGCCCCTATCGCCCTTAACCGAACCCCTATAACCCCTATCCATACCCCTATCCCTACCCCTACCCATACGATGGCTTCAACCCATACTTAGGTTCGCAAGGACGGAAAGACACTACCACTACAGACACGGAGACGGAATAAAGATGAATTAAATGTATACAAATAAAGATTTTTTTTTAGCTGATTAACGAAGGTTTATCTTATGTTAAGCATCTTTCCTATATTCCTGAGTAATAACCTAACCTAACCTAACATCGATCGATTCTTTATAGTCAGCATTCTACCAATGCAAAACACAAAAATTTACCTCACTAAGAGTTATTTCGCAAATTAAAATGCCTAAAATTCCTGAGTTATCAGATACAAGTATTCGAGTATATGTATTCATTTATTCACAAAACATTACCGGAATCCCAACGGAAAACATGCGACAAAAGGTGAAAATAAGCTAATACGTCATAAAATACGTTTAATCTATACTAATATATAAAGCTGAATAGTTTATTTGTTTGAACGCGCTAATCTCAGGAACTACGAGTTCGAATTAAAATTTTGTTTTGGTTTGGTTAGAGCATTTATCGCGGAAGGCTATAAAACATCGCGCTGTGACTAATAGAACTGCGAAGTTACAGCGGAAAATGTGAACAAAACGGGGGGAAAATTTCCATCTCTGTGGGTTTCTCGTGCGTACGCTACGCGAAAACCAGTTAGCCCAAAAAATATTATGTATGAAAGAAAGATTCTTCTTTAAATGATTTTAAAAAATATCTGCGACACTATGTATACGTCTATCTTTTAAGATTAAACAAATTTGGATGTCCAAAATTACTATTCTACGCGGACGAAGTCGGTGGCACAGCTAGTAGTTTATATGTAGTACCGGATAGGTAAGTAAGGATGCCGTGAGAGTGGGATACTCAAAGAGGCAAATAATGTGGACTGATTATCCGATCATCTACAGATAATAACAATAATAATAAACTAAAAACAATTTCAATTTCAAATCACAGTCGCGGCTGTTTCTGAGTTACCTTGTAGAAATATATTTACATACATAACATACGGCCGTTAATAATGCAATAAATTTTCACAAATGATGTCTGTTTACTCGGTTCAATCTCACGGTTGATTATTTAACACTAATGGGTCCTTTATTAAATAATATAAGCTCGTCAGTTGCCAGAAAATAAATAGTCATTATTCGAACGTAAGTCGGAGCGCGATGATTTTTTTAACACTATGTGGTAAGTCAGAGATCGTGTTACTAATGACAGCACAGATAAAGAACTGCTGATAAGTTATTTTGTCTTCGGGCATTCGGAAATTCAATATTTAAAACCGAAACGCGATTATACTCAACGGCTTTTCCATCTGTAGACAGTTCGGGCCCGGGTGCATTTTCGATATTCCAAACCATCATTTCACAACAATACCGAATAAAACACTTTTAGCGATATAAAACGCGAATATATTATATTTATTATTATGTATATACAATTATTTTTAATCAGAAGTGGTCGTTTGCGGCTGTAGTTAGATACGTGTTCCCTAGCATTGCGTTAAGCGCGAGAGATCCTCGGTTCGAATCCCGGCACAACAATCGATTATTTTGGGCAGGGCACAGAAGTTGGATTTACTTGCATGTAAAGAAAACCGATCAGTGAAACGGACACATAAATGTGTTCGCCCCTTACCCCACGGGGGGGAACGGGATTTCACTACTACCAAGTACTACGCTTAGCCTTTAATATTATATATCCAATTTACTATTTGTTAACTGGATTCGTCGTGGATCGTTTAATTCTGTCGTGTTAAATGTTACTAAATAACTTATCTATAGTAGGTAGGTATGTTGTGTCTTGGGTTTTCGAAGGACGAACAGCCCGAAAACACTTTGCAAAATGGCCGCGATAGCCATATACTCTATCTATATATTTTTCAGTGACTCTACTCTCAACCATCATGGTAACGAACGTGGGTGGCCAGAGCATGCCATGTGTGTGCCTCCCCGAAGCCCCAGTGTGCGCCAGCGACTTCAACACATACCCCGGGGCTTGTGTAATGCGGTGCGCGGGGCTCTCCTTCAAAATCATGTTGAAAGTTATTTTCCACGGCACCTGCGAGGACCTTTTTAGACAATTGCTATTCAAACAAAACGCACAACCTTCTTACAAGAGTAGACTCGTAAAACCTTATCCGATTAGTAATAAATAAATTAATGAGATTGATCTTATTATATATATAGCTACAAAGACATATTATACGTATATTATATTTTATTAGTCATATATTAAGTATTTATTTTTAAATAAAACCTCAAATGTATGTATCTTTCGTAATAACCACATTCTTAGTACACTGCAACCGACTTTTATTTTTTGTCGCATTGAAATTGATATCGATTGATTAATATAATAAAGAATACGTATAGAATCTTCACGAACGAAATACAAATATAAAAAAAACTCCTGGGGACAAACAATGATACAAATAAATAATTGCAAATCGAAGGAAATTCATATTAGTTGGTATCGCTACTAACAGCTGTTAAATCCCACAGCTGGGACTGCAGGGCCCATCTACGGCGGCATAGGATTTATTCTAGGTTGACGCATGACAGAAGTTTGCTCCGATATGTTGCTTAGTAAGATAAATAAGATATGTGCACGACCGGTACACGAACTCCCGATCTCACGAAGTTGGGTACATATAGGTCTTACGTTTACTAGATGTCGTAATAGGTCATAAAACCGTTTTATTACGTGCACTGAGCTATATTACGACAGACATTAAAATACAAATAAAAAGTTGATTAAAGATAACCGTTATGATGGATTAAATTACGTTATAAGATTATTTCTTACGCTACAATTAGATGTGGGTGTTAAAGGGTTGAAAAATGAATATATAAAGTTCATTTCACCGTCATTGATTTAGTTTTATTTAGATAAACAGAACATGTTACGTGTCATAGCGATATTTGCATGTAAGTAAATTAGTTAAGTCTTTCGTGTTGCTAGATGAACAATGAAATCTATACTAAATATAAAGCTGCAAAGTTTGTTTGTTTGTTGGAACGCGCTAATCTCGGGAATTAGGGCCAATTAACAATTAATTATTTGCATTAGTTAGAGCATTTATAGAGGTAGGCTATAAAACATCGCCCTGTAACTAACACAGCGAAGTAAAATTTTGGGAAAATCATTCATCATTCTGGGTTTCCGAGGCGTACGCTGCAAAAACGGTTCAAGATACTCAACGAAAAATATATGTATGAAAAAATAATTCCTCTTTAAACAAGTTAAAAAAAAGGAAAAAGACAGACACTTAGTATGAGTACAGCGATCAAGTCCATTCACAAAGTAGGTGGATCAGTATCAGTGTGTACCATATGAATAAATACTATACAGATGGTTGTAAGATTATAGAGATATTAAAAATACCTTAATATCAAAAATATATAAAAGATATTTTTAATATCTCTATAACAAGCAAGCGTTAAAACAAAATCTACAATTAAATACTGTCTATAGTTTACGCGAGTAGTACACATTTAAATAAAACACTTTAACGGTGACTTTAAAGTTACCACGGCTGCTGCAAAGCATCCAAAACGGGCCGAAATTAAAAATCATTGCCAAATAAGTCTAACTAATACATCGCATTTTAAACCGTTAAAGTGCACCTACAATTGCCCAGTTTGTACGCAAGACTAATAAAAGGTATTCTTTCAGTTGCTTTGTGTCAGGCTGGAGTGGTGATGTCTCACTGGACTGGGCTATACGTGGAATGCTTATGCCATGAACCCACTGGACCTTCAGTATGTGCAAGTGACTTTCATACCTATACAGATGCCTGTTTACTAGATTGCCATAGAAGACGCACTGGTGACTTTGAACTGCATGTTGTTTACAATGGACCCTGTGAAGACTTGTTCAATCTGATGTATGAACAACAAAACTATACACCGTACCTCCCATATCTTTTAGGCAGTATTACCGAGAAATAAGTTCAAATATACAATTTTTAATAAAAACTGTACTTTTTAATTTGAGTAAATGGTTCAAATATAGGCAGACAATGAAACCAGCACATCTAAGAGCATGTCATACTGCACATTACATAAAGCAGGTGATACAAGGTGGTATGATACCAGAAGTGTGGACTATTATTTTTATCATAGTTTATAGAAATGAATTAAATACTTTCTGAGTTAATGGGTAATATAAGTAATATAGATATCAAGTTATCTCAGAACAAAATAATAACTTAAAGCCAAATATTGCAGTTAATACAACTAGGCGGACTCTGTAAGGCATATAAAAACTAAACTAAACTAAAATATTATCTCCTTACCCCATCAATAATCTGACAGAAATGTACAGCAACACTGGCACTATTAACATTTGGAAACTTGCTTGAAGAATGTATAAGTACGGAAATCTTCTTAGATCTTATTTTGCTCGCCCGATAACCAAACACAAACAGCATTGAATCAATGACATTGCTTTTACCACTTCCATTTGGTCCAATAATTGCTGTGAAACTCTGAAATGTATTGTGACATGATATTTTATAAAATGTTTTAAAACTACTGTACTAACAAAACCCATAAACAATGAAACTTATAAAAAAATATATCAGACTGATATTTTTAGTACTACATGTAAATCTATCTGTACCTTATGAAAGGGTCCCAATTTTTGAACACCAGCATAGCTCTTAAAGTTCTCATTGACAATGTGTGTAATAATCAACCTTGGACCAGTTGAATCGAACGTAAGCGCCGGGCGAGGAGCTGGAGGAATGTATATATCTCCTATACGTATACCACCCTCTTCATCATCAGATATATGGTCCACTTCAGCGTCGCCGTCTGTGTTTTCTCTAGCTGGAGTCTCATCCACATCCATGGGTTCTTCGGAGGGCTTTTTCTTTGTTATTTGCATTATAAGCTGGTTTCATTAACTGCTATGAACAGTTTCACATAATATTGTATGATATTATTGAAAAACTGTTTTTACAATGCTTCGTAAATCACAATTATTTTTGAAACAGCGGCAACGGATAGCGAGCGATATTTTGATTATATTTTGGTTTGCCTATGACAGTTGACATTTTTTAGCGATCGATATATAGTGTAATAAATAGAGATGTGCTAAGACTACAACATTTACGATTTTATTTCAAAAATAATAAATAAACATTGTAATTTGAAAACCATTAGAGATAACCATACTATATAAAAAACATTTTCTTTTTCATTATTACTAATATTACTTATTATTACTTGCATATCAATTTTATAGCAATAATTGATCTATAGTGAAACATACCAACATCAACTGTCAGCAGATTTCTGATTTGACCACCGCTGTCAAAAATGGCGAATCGAACGGTGAAGGACGCCAAATCTATTCGGGGAACAAATCCTCAATATCTTATTGAAAAAATCATAAGATCTCGAATATACGACGCTAAATATTGGAAAGAAGAATGCTTTGCATTAACAGCAGAATTACTTGTAGACAAAGCTATGGCATTGCGATATATAGGCGGTGTCCACGGCGGCTTCATATACCCAACACCTTTTCTGTGCTTAGTTTTAAAAATGCTGCAAATACAACCTGAAAAGGATATTGTGGTTGAGTTTATTAAAAACGAGGAGTTCAAGTATGTACGCGCATTGGGCGCTTTTTATTTGAGGCTTACGGGTACTTCTGTGGACTGTTATAAATATCTCGAACCATTATACAATGATAATAGAAAATTACGGCGGCAAAATCGTCAGGGACAGTTTGAAATCGTGCATATGGATGAGTTTATTGATGAATTACTTCGGGAAGAGCGACTGTGCGATGTAATTTTACCGCGAATACAGAAAAGACATGTTCTCGAAGAGAACAATGAATTAGATCCTAAAGTATCAGCTTTAGATGATGACTTGGATGAAGAGATGGCCTCAGATGATGATGTAGTAGAACCGGAATCTAAAGAAAATAGAAGAGATACTGAGAAGAAGGATAGGGAAAGACGAAGAGATAGGTATATCATTTTCTTTCCCAACGATATAAAGCTCAAATTAACATTATTTACGAATAAATAGATTAATTCATAAAAAGAAGCCGTTCTGCAGGGCACATGTTATTGTTATAACAATTAATATGAGCCATGAAGAATACTAGATTTGCACTTCCATAGAAAATTATGTTATTATTATTTCCTTTTCAAGACACTGATAGGTTGAGTGATCAGTCCATATCATTTGCTTACCAATTTTACCCATTTCCCCTTCTTCGAAATCTTCTGTCTTTGTGGAGGCTTTCAGGTTATCTAATTCTCACTGCACTTGCAAACCAATTCATCTTCATCTTTAGACATTTTTGTAGAAGCATGCAATTAATTAAATTCCAATTATAAACCTTGGATTAATACATCTTCATTTCAATAGAAAAAGGTTAATTGGTCACAGATTCAAGCATTATTAAAAAACAACAACATGTTTCAGATCACGGGATAGAGACAGGCGTGAAAAAGAACGAAAAAGGGATCGTTCGAGAAGCAGGGACCGCGATAGGCGACGTGAAAGAGACAGGGAACGCGAAAGGGAGCGTGAAAGACCAAGAGAAAGGGACAGAGATAAAGATAGAAGAGATAGACATGAACCAGATAGGAGGAGGGATAGAGGAAGATATTAGAAATATTTAGTTGAGATTTTTTAATAAATACTTTTTGACCAAAACCATCTGTTTTCTCAAGTCGAAAATTTTTTTAATTTAAAATTTCGATCTTTAAATCAAAATTCCATCCATTTTCTTGGCCTTTATTCAAAAATAAACAGTGCTTCTAGGGTTTAGAATTCTACAAAACTTTAATTGAATAACTACAAGTACTTGTTCTAGGGTTGACAACATTTCAGATGCTTAAAATTCTTACCAAATTCCCTAGTTGGCTGCCTAGAGACAATTTTATTGCGTGTCCACTCAGCTACTGTTCTAGAGAAGTAAAACTTTACCCTTTGGTGCTAAGTTTCTATTTAATAGTATTAACTATTTTTGCATTGAGATTTATAGGTCTTTTTTCAGTCTTGGTTATACCAGTAGTATCATAATAGTGGTTGTAGTTATACATATACTAAAATTACTGAAATGGACTCAATATTTTTTATTATAAAATAAATTTAGCTATGTACAACATTAAAACAGTTCCATAATTTCATTAATCTTTTACGTTCAACGTTATATACAAATCATTTCAATTTAAAGTAATATACAATAAATAATGTACTTGTAAGTGAGATACTTGACAAATATTTCAACGCATGCGCAACATCCAAGCTGCCTTTAGTTTGTCCGTTATTTGAGCGAGACTAAAGAATCGAACAGACAAGAAATACATAATATAATATTTCAACAAAATCGAATACAGGTAATATTTTTCTATCTACACAATTTTACGCAATTTCCATATTTTTCACTAGCACAGTTAAATATATCACAAAAACTTTCTTGATTTTACTTTGCAGTAAGTACAGTTTATATTTTTTTTCTTGCAATAAATCTGAATATTATGTATGATATCATATTTTTTTAAATGTCAATAGTATAGATTTGTATTTATGTTTGAGTGCGGTTTATAGAACTCTAGTTATCTTGGTAAGGTTTCCGAGATAATTATGTAAGTTAGTACTGCATTGTTGAATTGCTTTAAAATGATTTCTATCATTTAGAAAGTTGGTGCATTCATGATGAATATTCTCTTTTCTTCATTTTTAATCCATCGCAATAGTCTATCAACTGCGCGGATAGCTTGATCCTTTTCCATTAATGGATCAAAAGTTACATATAGCTCAAATCCATTTGTAATCTGTAAAAAAGTAACTATTAATATTTGTACTTTTAGCTATCATTATAATTTAACTATAATGAGTTTATGGTAAACGAATTATTTTTACATTTTATAATAAAACAGAGAATACTTGGTCTAAAAACCACAATATTTATGGCTCTTATAATTGACAAGGTTTGTGTGTCACTAAGGAAGAATAATAATTGAAATTATAAATACTTACCCAAGCCAAAACAGTGTCTAGTGAATTAGATCTAAATATCAACTTAGCCGGCGAACAAGCACAATGCATTTTACTACAAAACTCCCGATAATTCCTCACATAATCTATATCTGATAATTTCTCCACCTTTTTCTTAACCACATCACCACCCTCTTTATGCCTTTGCCTATAATCTTGTAATCTGTCCAAACATATAGGATCTGATGTGAACAACTGCGCCGTGGACTTGCATTTATACATAAAATGCCTTATTTCTGGTATCCCGATATGTTTCAGCGGGTTAGTTGTGGGCAGATCTTTACTTCGATTGAGGGCATCATTGATGGCAGTTAAGCAGTTTGATCTTCTTAATTTATCTGATATTGTGTGTTTTGCCTGCGATAGGGGATAGAACGCATCTCGTTGCACCGTTAAGAGGAGTAAACAAGCTTGACAATCTTCCGATATGTAGGATACGTGACCGTGAAGGAAGCCACTGAAATTTAAAATAAGTTTTTCTGTAGTAGAGTAATTATCATCATGTGGCATCTCATTTCTGCTGTGGGGGATGGGGTGAAGAAATTTTTATATCTGTTTAACAGTTCATTTTTATTTACTTGATTAAATTACTATGCCCTGCCCAAGAAAACAATTTATTTGGTCCTCGGGATTACTTATATTTATAAGAAAAATGTTGTTACTATTTATCTTCTTTTAGTTAGGTATCATAGTAAATCTAAGATCTTTGTGTACATAGAATAGTAAGTAATTTAAAACATTATAAATAAAATAACTAAAGGTTTTTGGTCAAACCAAATTTGACCCTTCTCTACATATCGTTAGTAACTTACGTAGCATCAAACTTCGGCAAACATATTGGTGTCCAACTCTCGGCGGTTTTGAATGATTCCGAACTCCGCACTAAATTGAATAACAAATGGATATCTGACGGATGTAAGGTGTATTTCTTCATTCTAACCAGTGTTATTAATTGATTTCCAGCTATTAGTATAGCAAAGACAAGATCTCTTATTTTATGGCAAGTGGATATAATTGCGTTTGTTATATTCTCTCTCACTTTTTCCGGTAATGGCAAGCAACGGACGGCTCCTAGAAGGAAAGCTGGATCTTTTTCCATAAATATAAGCAAATTGTCTATTAGTCTTTCAGCGCCGGATAACAGTCTTCGCAGATCGTAATTCCGCCGTTGTTCAAATATTCGGTTTAACTGTGTCAATGTTAATACTGACACTATCTGGTTGAATGCATATCTGTAATAAAATATTTTAATTATTAAATAACAAAATACTGCCACTGCAGCTAAATCTTTAGGTTTTGGGTTCGAAGATGGCACAGAAGTCTGAACTATTTGCTTGTAAATAAAACCGATTATTGAAACAGACACAAAAATGTGTACACCAAATGCACAATGTGTACACCTAATGCACAATGAGTACACAAATGCAATACAATAATTATTGGAAATTTTCAACAAATCTGGCTTTGACACTAATAGAAAATTACATCACACAAAGTAATACGTATTTTAATTTAATTGACTAGAAATAATTTCGAGGCTGGAGTCCATAAATCATATATACAAACTAAAAACCTCTACAATAATTGTACAAAATTTCAATACTAACGTTAACTGCAACACTAGCTGAGTTTCACTCTCATTTGACTTCGATACCGCAACTAAAATAAGGGGCCCCTTCACTAAAAAGACAGCCTTACAGTCTTTTGTGATAATGGATCTTAAAATATCACGATTTTGTTCCTCTACAACACTTACTAATGCTTGAATTACACCACACACACCAGCTAATTTATCTTCATTACCATATCTGTAATTAGTATTTAAAAAATTTAAAATTGATAAAAATACACTTACATTTCATTTATAACAATTCAAATATTATGGAGTTGATATAATTGATGGACATAAATGCAGCTAACAACATGGTATTGCTCTAAAATGTATTGATAACCAATATAATAAAAACAGGTAACTCCGCAAAAGGTTAATTTGATCACGAGGAACTTGAGAAGAGAATAATATTCACTCTGTTGATAAAGTAGAAGGGAGTTACTTGTGGGCTTAACACCTACTTATAATTTCCTATCATTTTTGTAATTATGTCAGGTCCCTTTTAAAAAAAAATATTTCATAACCTAGATTACCTTGAATATATTGGTTTACCAGCTGAGCTCAATATGAACACATGCTTCTCTTTATTTACAAGTTCTGGAGATTTAAGATAGTCATCCTCATTATCTGTGTCCTCGCCATTCTCATCAAGGTTTGAATTACTAGTTGAAGCAGAAATAGCTTCCTGAAAAAAATTAATGGTAACACCGATCACCAATAGACTTTAGGTTTGATTTACACCAGGTCAAAGATATTTGTATGTTAATTTAAGTTGTTCCTGGAAATGTTTAACTGATATCCAAGAGCTCAAAACAACACTTAACTAGTTAAAAGCTGGAAGAATAGATACAAATTATGTGTATTATCACATAGTGTGTGATAGTTGAGAACTTTAATATTTTTCACATGATATTGTATAAATAAAAATCTTAAAGTAAAAAAAATTTATGACGAGCTATAACCCGCCCCCCCAGCATCCACGGCTTTCAATGCTGCTCATAGTATGGTGACAGGGTCAACTTTTCAATTGAAATATATTTTAATTGACATTATATGATAACCAGCCGCATTAAAAAAAACTTCAGGTTGCAGTTACAGTTAAGAAGTATACGCCCACTAGACTATTCTATTTATATAAGTTATTTTTATGAATACCTATCATGTATACAGTGTATGTATAGGTTACTTACGTCTTTATTTTGCAAATTATCACTAGATTTAGTTTCTTTTAACTCCTTCGAACACTCTCCGATTTCGCTTTGAATCTCGCTTATAGTACTGGATTTCTTGGTAAGATCTCTGCTCCGTTCAAGGCTCGTATTCATCTCAGTCGCGAACTCTTCAAAGGAATCGGTGGGATTTAAAATGCTATCGTAGGATGCTCCTGGTTCGAGGTCATCATCAGTATTATCGTGACCACTGGGACTTGTTGGGACATCTTTAGATGTAGACGCCATCGATCAAGGAATTGGAAGGCAGACTTTTAATTACCAATGATAATTCAATGGTATTATGAATATCAAAACTAAAATTATTTATATTTTTTAAACACTCGATACATACACATTGCAGCTACTAATGTCCTTTTAATTAATTGACAGCTGTCACAGTCAATGTCAAAACATACATCATATAAAACCGTACGTCACCGTACCGGCCAAGTACCAAAAGATAGCGGTAGAGGGCATAATAATAAAACAATGAAAGTTTTAGATTTTATATTAAAGGAATAGATTAATGAAAAATTAACAATTTCCATTAAAAGAGCCTTTCACGAAGACGACAATTAAATAAATAACTATACTACTCTGATAAATTTCTTTCGAAATAAAGTGGTATGCGTACTTAATACATTCAAAAACCCTTTTTAGCTTCATTCTCCAAGAATTTATAATTTTCACGCATCAGCTTAGGATGCTAGTGTAATAAATAAATAAAAAATAGTCTGTGGTATACTTTAAACACTTGCACATATTGATAAAAAAAACAAACGCCTTTTGTTTATGCCATTAAATACCAACTACCTACTTTTTAATGTCAGCAATTAAGTATAGTAACCGTATTTTATGCATTTAGTATTTGTTTATATATATAAAATTTGTGTAAGCTGTAGCCTGTAGGTGTTAGCTATATCGAATTGGTCACAATTGAATGCGAGACCTTCCGCTATACGTCACCAAATCGACGGCTCGGAAACTGGAGATAGCTCCTTGTGCAACTTATTGCCAATCGATTCTTCTTCAATAGCTCGCCAGTTTATCACATTAATGTTATAGGTACTTGCAATTTTATGGATTAGGTGTTTCAAACTGTGGTGAATATACAGTTGTTATATGGACTCACATTTATTTATTGATTCTAACCTCAAAACTGTTTATGACAATATTCAATTGTTAGCTTTTTAATTAAAGTTTTTTACAGGGTAGTATTGAATACAATATCAAAGTAAATCAAACCCTTTATCATTTGTTACTGGTCGCGAAAAATGTAAGTCAAGTCCAGTATCTATACAAAATATTTGGCCATTGTGTTTTTAGTTGTTAAAGTTGTAACAGTAAGAAAAGTCGAGGTTTTCCTTACATTTACATTTAAGTTAGAACTATCAAGGAAACTTGCTTGTTAATATTTTTAGTACTTACCTACTTATAAAGCAAAAAAATGCAACGTCTAACTCATACTGAACAGTTTAGATATAATATTTACTATGACTTGGTAATATACTATGTAGTCTTAAGCTGGTGTTTTAATAAATTGTACACAAAATGTACTTTATTATCAAGCCAAATCATATTTAATTAAAGGATAAGCACCATAACATCAGACAAGTTTATGTTTCTAATCCCAAGTTACCTACAAATTATATTCTTTACCTTTGGTATTTGGTATCCTTATCAAGTTTTAGACAATAATATAGCGGTTAGGCACGTATTACTAAATTGTTTAGGGCCCCTTTATTGTACACAACATAGACAACAGACTTATATTCACTTATTTGATTTACAAAAAATTCTGTAGATTTATATTTACATATATTTTTACTCCTTTCAATGTATTTTTTTTCAACGGTTAGATTTAGAAGGTAGAACAAAAACAGTATCTATTTGATGCTTCATTTATCAGTAGTTTTTAGTCTAATGATAGCAATCCAGGTCCAACATGTTTTTAATCGACTTATAATTTTTCTTAAACGTGTTCGACTTCATCTAGAAGTATGGACATTATGTCTAAGTCACTAGCCACTGTCCACAGATGCAATAATAGATTTTTGGTTTTAGTCTGTGGATTTCCGAATATAAAAAAAAACAAAAAGTTCGACATCATACATCTTGTTGAGACGTCGGCATGGTAGAAGTATTTTACCTCATCAAGTAAATCCCACCCTTGTATGTCCTCCTCTCTCATTCAAATAAAATAAGGCAACAAAACTATAATCCTTATTGTAGAAAATTTAATCGTGAATTATTTTCTGACAGTGTGGGGCCCCTAAATAGTTTAAAGTCCACCCACACATACCCACGTCCAAATGTATTCCGACTCGGGAGCTGAGGCTTAACGTCAGCTACACGTAACTTTAAACGTCTCAGAGACCGCCCAGATCTTATCCTCATCAAATATCACTTTACATCTAAGATATCCTTTATGCTTTGAAATTTTGTAAAGATTTATCTGAGGGTAGTTCTTGAAAATATGATACCACGTGTGTATCACGTAAAATATATGTTATGTAAAATTTCAATTACCTTTATGATATGAGGGAGGCTACTAAAGGCAGAGTGGCCTGATAAGAAAAATGCGCAATTCATTTTAATTTGTACTATTATTTGTGTAAGAATTATGTTAGCAATTTTCGGTCACTGTGTTCTTGTAGATTGACATTTATAGACTGTAAAATAAATATAGGCAACTCTACTATGTTTAGTAAATAGTAAATACATTGCGTTTTAAACCGTTAAAGTGTTTAATTAAATGTGTGCTACTCGCGTAAACAACAGACAGTATTTACCATTGTTTTGTTATATATATTATAAGTAATAATGAGGCGTGTCATATTATATGCTATACAGACCTTATACATAAGTCAATCAAAAATATCTCAAACACAAGGAAAAAAAGGATTTATGAATGCATATCAGAAGAGGGCAGAGATCGTGGCCTCATCAAAGCAACTCTAAGAGCTAACACGTACGATGCATATTTAATAAGTTGGTATTATAATATGTACTTTAAAATATATTTTAAAGATTAGGCTAATTTTAATGAGAATCAGTTCAGTAATTTCCATAAAATATAGCTATATTTCAAACTCTAGATACCAGCAATAAATAGAATTAAATAAAAAAATATTACAAATATATTTGACTCACTCGAAATCAAACCCCTTGAACCAGCTAATTTATCAGATATAGTCAGCTGTTAGAACCGCCGATTCTCAATAGGTGTCTCCAATAGAAGAAATAAGAGGTTTAAGGAGAACAGACAAACATAAGATTCACTTGATGAAAGGAAATTCCCCCAGCTATATAACATCTTGACAAAATGCGCTGTCAAACTATTTTGCTTTTTATTCTGGATATTTAGAATTCACAGATTGAAACCGATTAAACTTTACGACGTTTTAATCTGTAGACAGTGGTTTATGATATTCCACCGACACATTTAATATCATGTTTTCCAGTACGTACCAACATATTCAGAAAAATTATAAACTAATTAGAAACATCTATAACTTTGTGGGAATCGAACCGTTGATATTAGCCACACATTGCTACTATTAGACCAACAAGCGCGTCAATAACTTAAAAAATGCTCACAGGCTCTTACACTAGAAACTTCTTACATAATGCAAAAGCATCACGTAAAGCAAATTTGTCTCGCAGCGAGTTTTTAGGCGTCCCTGTGAAGAAGTGAAGGCAATAAAACAGTTATTTGCAAAATGTTCGCGACATCTGGACCCAGGTTCCTATGGATTTTTAAGCGGAATTGCTTTTCGGGTTTTTAAATAATGATGGCCTAGGTATATATATTTTACTTCAATTGTATGTTTGCTGTGTGCTATTGCAGTAGATAAGGCGTATTCCTTTCCAGTTTACACAATGCTGCATTTCGTAAAATAAATATGTATATAGTCTTTTAAATACAAATTTTAACGGTTTGAAACGCGATATGTTTTAGTTTAACTTGTTTGGAAATTATTTTTATCTACGGGCCGAAGTTTCGGATGCTTTGCAGTAGCCGTTAGTAGTCGTAGTTACTATTTAAATCTGTACTACTCCCGTAAACTACGGATAGTAGGTATATCATCTGTTCTCCCGTTAGTAAACGCAAGAGAAGGCCGCGTAACGTTTTTACCGACCCCGACGACGACTTAACCAAGTCGTCAATTTACTCGTCGCAACGCGATCGCCCGCAAAACCGCCTACGCCGCCGTAGGCGAGGTCATTCGTTACGCGTACCGCTCACCCGAGTGAGCTTCCGTTCAGCTCCTGAAGCTCCCACCCGCATTGCGGCGGTCCAAGCCCAGACCGATGCCCCCCTCGGGGCATCCTTGGTCTAGCCGCAAACACGGCGAGCACTGACGTGCTCGCCCAAACGCCCGGTTAGTATTCGAGGTCCCGTCGGGACGCAATACGTAATAGTCATTCAAAAAAAAACACATGTTCTCTTACATTAAAGTTTGAACGTTTTGAATAGAAAAAGGCTAGTTTAGTTAAATTAAGTTTGCGATCAAAATATCATAGTGTGACGTCGAATTTTTGTTTAGCTTTCAGACGGGAGCCTTAGAAATGTTTGAAGATATGTGGCTAGTGTAACTCGTTGCACAATCTAGGCACTACTATATTGCTAAATTATCTATTGTCACAACCACCCGCATTCACAAGTTTCAATCAAGTCTTTAACACATCCGTAACTGGTTGGAAGACAAGTGCCGTCGACATGATTAAGTATGCGAACATCTGCGGCATAGTTACTTCATTCATTATGGCGAATTGGGTGCTTTCCTGACAGATCAGCTGAGCTATTTTTTACTATATGTCAAGAGGACTTGTCCTTTATGCATAGGATTTGCAAATTTGACGCCACATTGTTGTTAACGACGCAATTTAAAAATAAATATCTGTATGTAAATTACTGGATAGGATAAATTATAATATACTTGGGCTGAAAAAAATTAATTTAAACAAATAAGAATTTTAAATTTATGTAATGCCATGATGTACGATTTCAAAAGAACAAACGTATTCAAATAAAATAACAATAAATTTTCGACAGATTTAATTTATTTGCACCAAAAGAATTTAATACAAAATTTGTTAATTTACGGAAGGTTTTACTTCTTTTTTTTATATATTATAAATATATTTTAAACATGTAAATGTCAGACCAATTTGTTGTGTACCGAATACCTTATATTTAATGCAGTGAAATGCTTATTGTACACACTTAAAGAAATTTCATTCACAAAATCAAAATGGCTGCAATTTTTTATAGAGGTAGGTTGGACCAAAATCTATGCTGTATTAAATTATATTATCAAAAGAGTTCTATTTTAGGTATCTGGAATATCGCTTGTTTATGACACGACACTGTATAATATATGTACTATTTATAAGTCACAATTGACAAGAGAAGGATAATTGCAAACCATTTTCGATTGATCCCAGTACAGCTTACTAGGACATAGGAAATAATTTGGCCTGAATGATCCATCTTCGTTCAAAGTACACACGTAGTAAGACCTACAGCTGTCTGGGTCTGGAAACCATCCGAGCGCTGGGCAGGTGAATTTTGAAGGTGTTGTTGTTGGTACTAAATAGGAATTATTGTATGAGCTAAAAATTACGTATAAATTTTGATGGAGTTATTAGGATAAAAACTTTGACGGACTATGGCTAATAATCAACGGGTCATACGTGTGATCCCCAGCGGGTCCGACATGTTTGCAATTAATTTATTATTATCTGAAACATGGTGGAACTCTGGATATTAAATGGATTGCAGGAATATAAAACCAGAGCCTGATGAAAAAGGCGTCGAGTTCGCGTTTCGGCTTCAGTCTATGGATTACCGAATAAAGCTAAAATAGGCCAACAACGCATCTTGTTTAGATGTTATATGGCTGGGGTATTTTACCGATCATCAAATAATTCATAAGGGTTCTGAGAATATCTCTTACTAATGTCGTACTTAATATGTTCTAGAACCAAAAATACGATGATTTTTGTCGTCACTCATCACACATTTGGCTGAATAAGAGAGAATTATGGAAGTGTTGAAGGTGATACCTGTCGTAGTAGAACTCTGTGTACTAGTAGTAGTCGTAGTAGTGTTAGAACCGGAACTCGGAGTTGTACTTGGCGTTGAACCGTTTGAAAATGCGCGATTTATTCCTCTGAGTAGTGGAAAATCTTCTCCGTGGCACAGCCCATGAAAATCGTCGGTCTCAATACTCCAGACCATGACTCCAGCGAGGTTTAAGTTCAGAGCATATTTGGTCTTAGCAGAGAGTGACGCTGCGTCATCATACGACACCCAATTTCTGTTTTGGACGGCGTAAGGCACTTTCGCTAAATTGTCAAAACGTAGGTCCCATGTTTGTGTGAGAAGGAGGTCACAGAACTGTAAAGGGATTTGGTATTTATTAAACTTATTTATTAATATTTTTCACATATTATTGTGCACATGATATAAATAAAAAATCGATTATAAATTGAAAAAAATTAAGCTTCGGGCAGGACTTGAACCGGTCTCCACAGCGTTCCGTGTTGTTGCTCTAACTTATTGAGCCACCGGGTCCTAGAGTGTTGCAAAGTGTGTTTTGCCATAGGTAATTTTTTTTAAGCATTGTATATTATATTTAATCTGTATAAGTTTAGTTATTAAGTTAGTAGTAAAAAAAGTTAATGTTAGGTCAATTTTTTTTATTTTTTGTGAAAAATTTTAAATAAACTATTTTTAATTTAAACTCATTTATTTAACTACGGCCTGAGTTTTCGGATGCTTTGCAGCAGTCGTGATCACGGCGGGACAGTTTAATTTAATTGTAAATAAGTTAACTACATTTTACGTTTTGAACCGGTAAAAAAGTTTGATTTAAACGTTTACTCGCGTGAATTACATACAATACTTAATTGAAATCCAAGTACAGACAATTAGAATTAGTATATAATAATATAATAGTGATTTTGTTAAATCTAAATTATATTTTTAAATAAATAAAAACTAATTACCTATTTCACATTAGTGAAATAGGTAATATTTCAAACGTGCTATATGTCTGATCAATGTATGATCAGTGCAACAGACACAGACAAGTGTTCGCCCTTTGCACCAGACATTTGCCACATAAAATTACTTGAATCCTCTTATCTCAAATAAGGCTCATAAATAACTCTTAATGAAACTTACTTTAGTATTTTAGTTATAGATGTTAGTATTTAATTAAGACAAGTTCTTATCAAAGGTCTTAATTTGTAAATGAGTTAATTTAACTCTGGAACTCGGGAGTTTACGAGACTCCGTTAATAGTTAACTGGCGAAACTTTTATCTTAGAAATAACGGATTAACTCCTTAACTGACGAGACTTAGAGTTGGTTCTGACGTGTGGCGATTAAGATAATTAAGTGCTTTTGTTTAAGCGCTCAGATATCTTTTTTTTAATGTTAGAGGAGGACAGAAATAGCACGGGGTTCACTTGAAGGTAGGTAATGTATACCCCAGCCTATAGCATCTAAACATGATATTAAACGGCACGAATATAGAAATGCCGTCCGGCACACGAACCATCGTCCACGATGAAAGAGCCGTGAAGCTTAATCGCGTTTCGGTTTTCTTCTGTGGATTTCCAAATATCCAAAGGCAAAATAGGTTGATAGCGTATTTACCATTTTAGATCTGAAGTAGTTCTAAATACTTTATGGGTATTTAAATGTTGTTAGTCTGTTTCCTTATATTATATGAAAAAAACATTGCTCCCATGAAGCCCCCATGCCCCACGTAAGAAAAAATATTAGGAATAAAATTAAGTAAATAAATATTATATAAGACTTCAGTTTACGCAAGTGGTACACATTACAAACACGTTAAACAGCTCTCTACATAAAATGAATACGAGTACTTCATTCAATAAAACATTTTAATGGTTAAAAATGCGATATATATTAGTTAAACTTATCTGAACATTATTTTAACCACGGCCCAACGTTTCGGTTGCTTTGTAGTAGCCGTGGTCACTAAAGATGGAGGATATCTCTGACGTCAAGGTAAAAAAGCTGCTACGCTAGCGCCATCTGTTCCGTCGAAGTTGGTATTTGGCGAAACTGGCCGGCTCCTTGCAGAATTGACTTAACGCAGTTAAAATGATTATCAAATAGGTTTAACTAATTTAGATAGTGTTTTAAACCGTTAAAGTGTTTTATTTAGATGTGTACTCGCGTAAACTGTAGACAGTATGTATCCTCATGTTTAACTATAACCCAATTTGAATCAAATTTCGGGATTGTGACATCGGTAGTGTCGGTTCGTAAGTAATATTAAGTTTTATAATTCTTCCTTAAATCAAATAATATAAATTTAAATTATGTACCTCATTATATCCGATATTCCCATTAGTAACAGTATAAGGACCTGCAATGCCAGGTCCATATGACGGCGAACGAACAGAACTTTTATTTTGGTTTGCCAAGTTGTATGTGTGGCCATAAAATGGAAGACCAATTACTAACTTCTCTGCTGGGAAACCTGTAAGATTGATACTAATATAATTATAGATTTATGTATCTCTTTATGACAAAGGAGGAGAGACGAGCATTGGTTTACTTGATGGTAGATAAAATACCCCACCCATATAACATCTGAACAAGATGTGCTATCGACCTATTTTGCCTTTAGAAATCTACAGACTAAAACTGAGACGTGATTAAACTTCGCGGGTTCCTACCACCCATTTAGTAGCCAGATTTGCAGACAAAGTTGTTCATTAAACCAAAATATTTCCGAATAATTATAAATTGATTAGAAATATGTTGGCCCGGTGGGGATCGAACCGTGGGATTTACCGTTGATTATTAGCCATACATTGCAACCATTACCCTTTGCTAGAGATCGAGATTTTCACGAGGTAAATCTATTACAAAATGTCTCGTACAAAGAACGAAATTTTCGCGTATTATTTCTGGAATGGTTATATACAGGTTACAATATAAAATGCATATGCCAAGTCAAAAGTATTCAAGGCAAGCGCGAAAAAATTGGTCCAACTCCCATTTTTTTGTTCTTTTCGTATTTAACTTTACCTTGCGACAGCCAGTACTGTACTGCAACGTCTACGGTGTTAAGTGATTCCTTTGGCACATTGCCATCCCCCTCTCCCTTATGTAGGGGGGAATTGTGACCCGTCACTGAGTCCCATGGCCCATACATATCGTATGTCATTAGCCCAACTATATCTAGATACCTGTCAAGTTAAAGAAATAAAGTGTTTTTAGGTTCGTTCTCTTGAAGTCAAAAAATTATTGAAAAAAGCTTTTTACTCCATTATGTTCCCCAAGATCTCTCTCCATTCTTCACTGCAGCTGCCCGTTGTAAAACGACTTTCAACGGGCAGCTGCAGTGAAGCCAAAATTAAAAGAACCCATACTTTTTAAGTTTGTGTAGGTTTTAAATTTTTTGACAACCTTTTAACCTAAAAATCGATTTTAGATTGAAAAAAAAATACGACACGGGCAGGACTCGAACCGGCATTTACAGCGTTCCGTGCTTTAACCAATTGAGCTACCATGTCCTACACATCACCATCTTTTTTTAACCTATTAATAAATGCACTTCTTGCGCAACTAATTTCAATCTTAATCAATTGGTTAGATCAATAGCATTCAACGCCCTGGATAGCGGTTCGAGTGCAATCGCGAAAAATATTAATGTTTTCACCCTTATAATTCTCAGTCACTAAATTCATTAACTTACTGCGCAAGCGCTGGTATATCGTAAGACAAAGATGCGGTATCCCTTGTAGAGGCAACAGCCGCGCTCAGCAAAAGACCATATTTGTCGAACCCAGTCCTCAGCTCTTTCAGGAGTTTAGTAAAGTTATCGACATCAGCTTTGCCGTGGACTGAATCCCTTCGGTTCGGGTACTCCCAATCCAGGTCTAGACCGTCGAAGCCGTAAGTTAGGAGCATGTGGACGGCACTGCTTATGAAGTTACTGCGCAGGTTCTCGTTTGCAGCCATCTAGAAACAGGACAGTTGTAAATACAGAACCCTCGCTCTAATTCTAACAAAACACTTTCTTACACACCACACATAAAGTCAACGTCAAAAATCGTTTCTTCAAGTACACCAATTAATTTACACACACTTATATATATTCTAGATAGCATGAGAATAATTCAGACATTTTTTAAAACTATTATTTTGTTCAAGGGGCTTATCAACTAAATTTATACTACTACTCTACTATCTATACATAAAGCTGAAGAGTTTGTTTATTTGTTTGAATGCGCTAATCTCAGGTACTAATGGTTCCAATGGGAAAGAAATGCTTTGTGTTGGTTAAAGTATTTATTAAAAAGGGCTATAAAACATCGCGCTGTGACTAATGGGAGCGAAGAAATAACGGGTTTGAAAAAAGCGGGGAAAATGGAAATTTTGTTAACTAGTTACTATATTAGCTGATACAAGTAGTAATAAAAGATTAAATAAGATCTGATATGTACATAATGATTTTGAAGTAAACATGCGTTTTTGAATAAACAATATTACGAACAGAAAATTCGAGAAAAAAATCGTATTGTCTATTTTAGAACCATTATTTGTTGCGTCCACTTGTGTGCATAGTCTGTAGTAATTATTATTACTAGAGTTGCGCCGAGCAATACTCTTGCTGAGTACGTAACGAGTACCGAATTTAATTCGGCTCAATATTTTTTCAACCGAGTACTCGGCCGAGTAACTCGGTTCATTCAAATTTTCATTTCACGCGCGTAAACGAGTACCAACGGTTCGCGTCGGTCAAGAAGTCATCACTACTAACTACATTCATAAGCATAGTTTTGATTTTATTAATTTATATTTTCAAAGATTTCCTAAATTACTAATACTTTTAGATTAACACCACTGTTTTAATTATATCTACCAAAATATATTGCTTTTCTTAAACAGAGTATATTCGTTATCAAATAACAAAATATAACCGAGTTATTCGGCGAAATACGAGTATTAAAAAACCTGCCGAGTACGTAGAGTACCGAGTATCAACTGAGTACTCGGCCCATCTCTAATTGTTACTATTATTACTATTTATATACATATAGTATACATAAGAGTACCGGGCGGTAAAACTGATTGTTTGAAAGTAAAGTAAAGTATTACAAGGTTTTAATCACGATTTGAAATAGTAAGAAAACGGCAGCAACAGTATAGCGGGATGTTTACGCTAGTATTAAACATTTAAAACATCGTTGATGGTTTAAAACGCAAATACATCAGTCCAACGTTTCGTTTGCAACAGCCGTCACGGGAAGACTAGTTAACTAATACATATCGCGTTTTAAACCGTTTAAACTGTAAGAGCATTTCTGTTATTGTTAACCTAACCGCGGCCCAGTAAGTATTATTGCATTTCAGTGTTCCTAGCTAACGAGATTGACCGCTTGCAGAATACATCTAATTAAATCCCCGACTTTAGTTTAACCAACCGTAAACAAAACTGTTGTAACTTACAATCGAATATTTTGCGGAGCCTTCATTCCAGCCGCCGACCGCCAAAATAGTTTTCAACTTCGTGTTCTTTTGTTTCAGTGCGTTGAAATTGCGAAAATTATCTGAAATATTTCACTGGATAAACAATGTTTATCTGCGGGATTAAGTTTGGGGATTGCTTTGTCCAGATCGACTTTGCAACTGGTTAACTACAATTTAATTCGAAAACGAAATATATATAAAACGACTTAAATAGTAATATGAAGGGCAATGGATAAGAAACATCTAAGTGCACAAGGAAATACTTAAAGACATTTGTTGCCGTTGAGCGTAAACTTAGGTTTTTTTTTTAAAAAGGACGACCTGATGGTAAGCGAAATAACCCAGTCATTAATTATTGTTTGATGTCTACGCAAGTAGTTCATATTTAAATAAAACAGTTGTAACGGTTTGAACGAGAAATATGTTTACTAAAGTTATTACAATATTTTACACGTAATAAAAGTGTTTTATTTAAATACCTCAGTCATATAATAAATGAGACTGTGACTGGAAGGCGATGAATCCTTACGACTTTTTAATCTATGGATTCAAACGGAATTTGAATATTCCTATCACCCAATAGTATTGAGATGTCCAAAGAAAGCTCATATTGATGTAGATGCATGTTGAGCATGGAGGAGATCGAACCCACGCTCTTGGTCATTACCTTCACTATTATTTTTACAACTATAACACTTATATAAAAAAATGTAACGATTTAAAACACGATAATATATATTAGTTACACTTATTTTAATTTTTTTTTACTACGCCCAACGTTTTGGATGCTTTGCAGCAGCCTTGACCACGGCTAATATATATCGCGTTTTAAACTGTATAAGGTTTTTTAATAATCAATATTTTATTTATCATACTAATTAAATAATTAAATTACTATTGTAAAGTCGTGAACTACTCTAGAATTCTTACTCACTTCTTCCCCAGTTATCTGGCAAATCAAGGTATGGATCTAGAGAGACCACAGTCCCTTGGGAGTTGATGCCAGCAAAGGTGTACACCAAGTGTGTACATAATTCGGCCTTAATATGGGCTACATCGAATTTACCCAGTCCATTTCTGTACGTCGCCCAGGTACCGTAGTAGCAGATTATTTTTTCTGGAATAAAAGATTCAGTTCGAACAAGCCACTAATATTTTAGCCTGTATACAATGTGTATTGTATAAGTCGGCCTTCCCAGAAAAAAATGTAAATATTTTTTTCGTAAAAATAAGTTGTTTTTGCCTATTAAGGTTTTTTTTTTAAAGGAAGATAAGCTTGGGGTTTACTTGATGAGAGGTGAAATACCATAGCCATATAACATCTAAACAAGATGTTGGATATTCGGAAATCCACAGACTGAAACCGAATCGCAATTAATCTTCTAGGCTGTTTCATCTGTGGACAGCGATTCGTGACCCGGACGGTATTACGATATTCCTACCGCCCATTTAATATCCAGATTTCCAGACGAAGTCCAACTTGTTTTAGAAAAATAAGAAACATGTAAGACGCGGTGGAGGTCGAATCCACGACCGGTTGATAATAAAATAACCATGCATTTCTAACATTAAATCAACGTGCTCGTCAAAAATAGTTAAAAATTTTAACTTTTAAATAAAACACTTTAACGGTTTAAAACGTGATATATTAGGTAAACTTATTCGAAAATGATTTTTAACTTCGTCTCCCCGTGACCACGGCTGCTGCAAAGCATCCGAAACGTCGGGCCGAAGTTAAAAATCATTTTCAAATAAGTTTAACTAATATATCGCGTTTTAAACCGTTAAAGTGTTTTATTTAAATGTGTACTACTCGCGTAAACTATAGACAGTATTTAGCTTTACTTTTCCTTTCTACTCATAATTTTTTTTTTATATCACCTTAATCGTAAGTCTACCTGAACACAAAGACTATTACATAACAATCCTTAGTATTAATAAACCTATTATTTTAATTTACCCATCTATTTGGCACTACTAAATAGACTGACTTCTTCTCAGTAAAGGGAAGTAAAGATCGAGATTAGATCACAGTTCATACTTACTTTCAGTAGCTACAACACTGACGAATATGAACGACACTAACAACTTGGAAATCAGCATTTTAGCATGCCATTTAAAACTGCAATAAATTAAACGGTAGTCGTTGGTTTATATGAGATTTTTATCAATATTGCATTAAGCCGTCGGTGATTTGCAATTGATAAGGAATCGGCACTGATTGAAAGTAGAGACACAAATCCTTGCTTCTCTAGATAATGTACATCATAAACTTAGACCCTTCAGAAATTCTTACAATTTAGTTGTTTGTTGATTTATGTAAGAACAGATTTAGTTTTTATCGTTTGCATGTCACTCAAAAAGCTGTAAGAAGCAGGAAGGTTTATTAAAATGGAGACGAGTAAGTATGTAGGTAATGTTAATTTATTTGTTGAAAAGAAATATTTTGGGAAAAAAAATATCGATCAAATAAAGACAATAGGGTGGAAAATAATGTTATGAAATATTTTTGTAAATCTCAAAGCATTTAAGTTGTAAGGTATTAAAGATATGGACTATGAAGAACGTTTATTTTAAATAGTAATAAAGAGTGAATTATGTTGGTAGATTAATTAAATCAAGATGTAATAATCGATTAATGATCGAGGCTGTAATCTGTTAGTAGTAGCATCATAGTACATATATGTATTAAAATTGTAGATAACTTTTCGACAGCCGAACCAATCGTCGCCATTGCAATTTGAAAGTTACACGTGTCGCATCAAAAGGACTTTCAGAACCCGCCAGAATCCATTTAGGCAGCACCGTACAAATAGTAAAAAACTCGGGACGCATTTGGTAGACATTTTTTCGACTTTCATTCGACCAGCGGCCCGTCCGGCCTTGTAAATTATTACCGCAATGTTTCCCTTAAAATAAAACTAGAGTACGCTACATAAAAGCTTGTGTGGGCTTTAAAATTCAATTTTCGCCGACTGTAAGGATTTTTGTGGTTTTTCGACTATGTGTCGCGTATAGCTTATTCAAGTGCTTGTTGAGCCTGTGAATTACATATATTTTAAGTTCACGCTAAGTACAGTCGATATAACATATTTTACGGTGTACAGTAGTCCGCTGATTTTTCAAAGTTGAAAAAAAAGAAAATTTAAATATTTTTTTAGACTTTAATGAATTCAAAAAAAAATATGTTTGGCTCAACACACTATACAAGCCTTTTGTTAGGTACTCCTGGTTCTTGGGTTCGATTTGAGGAAAAACGATATATTGTTCCTTTTAGGCATAGCTCAAAAGAGTATCAACTTTAAATAAAGTGGATCTACGAAATGGACATTGTAATGTAAACGTATAAAAAATTTACAAAGAAAATAAAGACAACAAAATTACTATATAAAAATAATTGTTATAAGTAAACAATTATAACATATCATTAAACAATAAATATTCATGAGGCTAGTTTTAAAACCTCTGCGTTTTTCCCAAGTGATTTTATCATTCTATTTATTAACAAATATATGAGTGTCACATAAATGTTATATTCTTCTCTTAAATGCAATAAATCAATGAACTACAAGAATAATGGCTTATCTTATCATTAAATTAGTAATGCATCATTTATTCCATTTCAATAGCGTTGCAAAAATTACTTATTGAATACTCAATGTAATTTCGATAAGGATAAAGATATGAGGGATTTCGCCCACTTTTCTTAGAACGCCGGCCACAATTGAACATCTATCATTCAATGTCTTTATGTAAGTAATTTAACAGCACATTTTTTTCCAGCTTGTGAGTATTGAGTTAAATACATCGCAGTTTTAATTCGAACTTTAAATTATTTATTTCGGTCTTTATACGGAACATCGTTTGCCAATCTACGCCAAGTACGTGGCCTATATGATTTGTTCGCTTAAACGGCCAATAGATGGCGTTGGCTAATTAATGTCCGCTTGCATCCCGGTGATGAAGTGTTTCTTCGAAAATGAAGTCTAAGATTTATTTTAATAAGAAATTTCGCTAACTCGGGTGATCTTCAAACACTTCACATTGCGGAGATCCCCTCGGGACAGCCTTGGTCTACCCGCGCAAATACGGCAAACTTCCGGTTACTATAGAACGCCTTGGGCCAAATTAATATATAAATATCATAAAAAACTATGTAGTTTGAAAGCTTTAATATCTTTCACATGATGGTACTATATAAATTAAAAAAACGATTTTAGATACCTTGTTACAGCAACGCTTTGGACGCCGGTTCAAGACCTGCCCGTGTCAAATTTTTTTACAATCTAAAATCAATTTTAAAAAATATAGTTCCGTTTCAATTGTCTGACATTTTTGGGATTCGAACCGGCTGCTTTATTGTGTCTAAAAGTGTAACCCCAGCATAACAGCGAAGGCCACAGAGTAGATAGTAAACATAGTCTTATCGAACACTTCGGCTATCTCCCTTTGTTCACTGTTCGGGACTTCCTCTTTCTCCATCTGTTCCACGTTCCTGGTTGTGGGAATTTCATCCTCCTGGGGTAGGTAGCCTTCATTTATTGCGTCGTATACGCGGCAGTCCTATCAATCAATTAAAAATCACAACGTAAAAAACGCGTCGTCTTATAAATGTATGTTAAAATTTATTATAAGTAAGCCAGCTAGTCTATAATGTAAGACTATAGTGTATTGCATATATACGTATTTAGTTGACGAAGCCTATCAGTTTTTTTTTATTATACATATTTAATATATGATTAAAAAAAAAACAAAGGGTCTGACGTACGTACATTAACTATTGTTTAAACTTGAGGAAGTTATGAAGAGGAAGTGGAAAGGATACTACTAATGAAAATGGAATCTATACTAATATATAAAGCCGAAGAGTTAATTTATTTGTTTAAACCGGCTAATCTTAGAAACAACTGGTTTGAATTGATTTTTTTTGTGTTGACAAGAACGAAGAAAGAAGAAACAGCGGGAAATGTGTAAAACAGGAGGAAAATTATTCATTCATATAGTGGGTTATCGGTCCAAGATACCAAAAAAATATGTATTAAAGAATGGTTCATCTTTAAATTATCTACACTGACAATAAATTATCTACTTGCCACTATATATCAATCTTTCAAGATTCACTAGCAAGAACGACGCGACGCTTGCGACGTCGTGGGTAATAGCCTACATTAAAAAAAAATGAAAGTTTTGGTTTTAGGTTTGCAAAAACACATTCGGATGCTCAAAATGACTCTTCCATGCGGACGAAGTCGCCGACACAGCCAGTTATTTATATAACAAAACATCTAGTGCAACTGTAACATTAATTATACTCGTTCTTAAGAAATGATTCTGTTAATTTGGTACTGAGATTACCTTCAAAGGCGGCAAACAGAACAGAGACCTGAACCATTGAGCCGTTAAAACGTTTTGCATAACAATGGTCCGGCAGAAGCGCTCGCCGAGTGACGTCATTAGTGCCACTTGCATTAGCAATGCGAACAGGACTCCGCCTAAAACTGTTGTGTACAGGATCACTGGAATTACATTGAGTAATATTATTCTTAACTAGCCGTGTCGGCGACCTTGTCCCCCCGGGGAAGGTTTTTTTTTTTTTTTTAAAAAAAGCGGTTACCCACGACGTCAGTCGCGCCCCGTCGTTCTTGCAAGTTCATCTTAAAAGATAGGCACAGTGTTGTAGATTTTTTTTGATCATTTTTTTTTAGCAGAAGTTTTGGCAGAGTACGCATCAGAACCCTACAAAGATGAATAATTTTCCGCGTTTTATCCACGCCCTCCGCTGTTTCTTTGTCACACCTTGATGTTTTAACCTATAGCCTTCCTCGATAAATACTCTTACTAACTAAAAAAAATATGCCAATTATAACCAGTAGTTCCTGAGATTACCGCTTTTAAACATACATACTCTTCAGCTTTATATATTAGTATAGAAGATGTAGTCTGCAGTTTATACGAGTAATCTTTTAACGGTTTCGAATGCGAAATAAATAATCGCCAACTTAGTTCTAAAAAAGTTATGACGTGGCCCGAACTAATACAGATATAAAAAGCTGAAGAGTTTCGTTTGTTTGAACGCGCTCATCTCAGGAACTATTGGTTGGAATCGAAAATTGGTTATGATGGTTAGAGCATTACGAGGAAGGCTAGACTATAAAACATCGCGCTGCAACTAATAGAAGTGAAAAGGCAGCAGGAAATAGGAAAAAAGCGGGGAAAATTGTTCATCTTACTTGATTCCCTAGCGTACACTGCGAAAGCAGTTCAAGATACTTGAAAAATATGTATGAAATAATGATTCCCCCATAATGATGTGCCAAAAATGTCCGTGACAGTATATGTCTATCTTTTACGATGAACTTGCACAAACGATGGGACGCGAACGACGTCGTTGATAAGAGTTATAATTTATAAAGATGAAGAGGTTTGCAAAAGCAAAAAAAATTTGATCCCCAAAATAATTAATTTACGCGCAGGAGTCGCTGTCTTATATAATTTGGAAAAAAAAAACGAAAAATAAATAAGTGATAAGAGTAATAATTTATAAAATATATGGAAATTAATTATACTAAATCTCGACAATAAAAATCGTTGTCATGCAATGAGGTCCTGAATTTGATTCACGGGAAGAACAAGATCTATTTTAATATACGTAATATTGGGAATGAAGTTAACACAAAAATGCATCTGTCATTCATACCTAATTAAATAATGTTGGTAAGTAAGACTAGGTACTTACATATAGTGGGTACTGTATGGCAAGGTACTAAGTAGTCGATATAGCACAAACCCATGCATATAATAATAGTACAACTTGCGTAAAACCATACTCTATTCAGGTTGAGAGGTTCAGTCCAGAACGACATCAGAACAAATGTTACAAGCACTGAAAAATAACACAGAACATAAAAACCTTTAACACGATATATCTTACCTCAACATAGATATTATACTAGTACAACTATTCTGTAATATATATATATATAATAAATATAGACTGTCAACCTACTATGGCTTTGGACTCTCGGAAATCTATAGACTGACTTTACATTTTATTGGATCAGGGCTCGTTACGAATTTTCGCACTACCACACATTTAATATTGGGATCTGACCATGTCGAACATGTTTTAAAAAAAAAAATGATTTAGAAGATTTAGGTATAAACAAAACCCCTCGATCCACCTAGACTACTAACAAAGCTTAACTGAACATTTTTAACGGTTTAAAACGCGAAAAGTTATTAGAAAGCTTATAGTAAATTGTAAATAAGTTAACTACTACATCTGAGTCTTGATACCTTATAGCACAAAGTTAGAATTGTAGTATTTTTTTTATTCTTTTAATTGTAATTTATCTTATTACTCGTTTTATTGTAAGCTTGTACTTTGTGATAATAAACGGATTATTAATTTATTTACTGATTCAATAGTGTTTTATTTAAATGTATGACTCGCGTAAACTACAGACTCAAAGCCTAACCGGCCATTTCCGCAGTTGACAAGCCAAATTTCATACCTAACAGGGGTGTATAGAAAACGATATTGTAGGCTGTCGCACGCCGCTTGATGCCCACTTTGATTACCAATCTGTCACTTTGATGGGTGCTATTGTCGTCTGAAGCATACATCTGGTTCCAGGAAGTGGCGCTGACGATGTACTGTGACGAGCTCGTCTCCCAGACATTTTGTATCACCTCATCTAGTTGTTCGAACTGTAAGCAAGAGTTCAATTAACTTTAATACACTAAAAATACAGATTTAGTTCTATAGTCTGTAATTCACGCGAGATTATTGCTATAAATATTTTTAAATAAAACACTAACTGTTTGGTCGTTGGGAGTCTGCCGTGACGTGACCACGGCTGATGTAAAGCATCCGAAACGTCGGGCCGTAGATAAAATAATATACGAATAACTTTAACTAATATATATCGCTTTTCAAACCGTTAAGGTGTTTTATTATTAGCTGTTATTTGTACCACTCGCGTAAACAAGAAACAGTATTTAAAAGTACTTTTACTAAACGCTTTTTATTTAAGTTACCTTTCCGTTAAGGTCTGATCGTTGGTAATATAAAAATATATATAGAGTTTTAAACGGTTGAAAATGTTTTTAGTGTCATGTTATTGCATATGCTATATAACAATAAGTATAATATATATAATACAATTAAAAAGTAATCTGTAGTGACCCGATGACTAGTGGTCTGAACCACGGGTTATCTGATACGGGTCAGCGTAGGCGCACGAAAAATATGTGTTTTCCCAGGCAACAATATCGTTAGTATTTTAATGTTATTATTTCCACCTTACACCTCCCCCAACCAAATGAATGTTCTTCCAGCACTTCAAGCTCCCACCCACAATGAAGTGGGACTAGCTGAAGCCGATGCCCCTTGGTCTAACCGCCCAACGTCCGGTTAATTTTAAAGGCTACTGAAATAACGCGAGCTCCCTTAACCTCTTAATCTTCTTTTATGACAGAGGAGGATAAGAGGGTTGTCTTAGTGGTAGGTGAAAACCCCCAGCCATATAACATCTAAACGAGATACGTTTTCGACCCGGTATTTAAATAAAACACTTTAACGGTTTAAAACGCGAAATATTACTTAAAGTTATTGAGAATGATTTTCAACTTTGGTCCGACGTTTCGGATGCTATGCAGCAACCGTTGTCACGCGTAAACTATAGACATATATTCTTTTTTATGTCATGTAATTTTTCACGGACGGCGGTTCGTGTCTCGGATGGACAGAATTTAATACTTCTACCACCAGGTTTCAAAATAAAATTGAAATTGAAATAGAAACATGTAGATATCATTAGCCATACAAAAGCCCGTTAAAAATTAGGACAAGAACTCACAGCCTTCATTGCTGAACTGGTTTGGTCGAGACGTTTCAGTGATATTTTCTCGTGGACTTGCCAGGGTTCTATTACAATAGCGCAGTGGTACTCATCACGGGGCCACCTGTAAATACATGAAATGTACAGTTAAAACGAAGTAAAACAAAAATATGTTAATTAATTACTGTCTGTAGTTTACGCGAGTTAAATAAAACACTTTAACGGATTAAAACGTCGGGCCTTAGTTAAAATAATTTTCAAAAAAAGTTGAACTAATATATATCGCGTTTTAAACCGTTCAAGTGTTTTATACAAATAAAAGTTAATTCATACATTTCGTATTAAACCGTTATAGGTATGTTATTTACATGTACTACTCGTGTAAAGTACAGACAGAACTTAATTAGTAGCTTATTTATAATTTATACCAACTTTGTAATCGTTGTAACATAGTCGAAACACCACGTGTTGATGGTTGTCTGCATGTGGTACGTCGCCACGCCAGTATTAATCATTGTTATCAATTCTGGATTCTTCGCGTCCAGCATGTTAACTGAGTCGGAACTAAGACATAAATTATTTAATATGGAAACATATTTTTACATTTTAACATACATTCTTAAGTTAAAAATCAAGTTAAGAACGTACCACGAACTAATTCCATTTTTTATTTATATTATAGCTTCGTGTTTTTAGTGAATAAAATTAAAGGACTTAATGATAATTTGGTATAATTTAAGATGTTACAAGACTTCACGCGCTACGCCTAAAGCGAGCTCACTGGTGGAATCTTAGCCTTAAACTTTTCCTCTATACGTATTATTGTTACTTGCAACATAACACTAATATCTAGTTGTCTATGTTTTTTCAACTGCCAAAATGTAACTAACTTAAATGTGTAAAAAGCAGGACTCCATATTTGTCCTTGACGAAAGTTAAGACTTGTGACGTTATTGAATTTGTTAAGATCCCACGCCATGCTCTCATCAGTCCAGTTCTGTAAAGAGAGAAAGAAAATTCTATACTTAAAAATAATTCATATTTATATATTTATAAATATTTTTTGTAATTGTAGTCTATTTGGAACGTCGTATTATAAACGTACCTGGCAGTACATGTAACTTTGTACTTGGACGACAGACAGATTGACTTGTTGGTGGACAGGTCGCATAGAGAAGAGTTGTTATGGACATAGGTTGGTATTTAAAACGGTCTCCATAAGTAGTAAGGGGTTTTTTTCCCGTTTTAATTAAATTTAATAAATTCTTTATTTGATTTAATTAAAACGTAAGTTAATACGAGTATATTAAATAAAAAAGAGTATAGTCTTATATTTTTGTTTAAAAGCAAGAAAGGCTGATGGGAAGGTAACATCCAGAAAGGAACCTAAACTGACATGAAATAGTTTGAGGTAGGACTAGTCAGATGGCTTTGAAGAAGGGTTAAAAGAAAAAATATAGGCCTAGAGTATAAAATGTAAAATGTTAATTTCTTAATTTGAAATATCAGTTAAAGATCGACAAATAGCTAATTTTAAGATTTACTCTTACCATCACGACGGATACACCTGTCGTTAGTTTCGATTCAAACGCATCGTAGGAGATACTATTGATTCTAACTCCGAGGCTCACTGCTACTTCTGGGCTGGGCGGTATCGCTGGATCTCTGCCCATCAGCAGGGTTCGTTTGAGCTTATCCGAATTAGATAGTTTTGGATCAACCGGTACTGAATTTGGCGTAACTATAACATAAATATTGTCTTTTTACACATTGGGTTGAAGTGGAACTTTACGATTACTAAAATGGGTCGCATATAAGCGTTGTATTTTGGGTTGTCAAGTTGGTCCAGCAGCACTCCACTGTAACTCACGAGGTCTCAGGTCTGAATCCTCGATCGGGTGAATCCTCGAAAGGGTAATCAAAAGTTAGGTTGTCTATGTCGGTTATCAACAGTTTATTGGGGGTAGTTGTTCAGTATGATTTAAGCCTCAAATGCTGGTTTTCATAGGAAATAAAGATACAGTATAAGTGATATTGAAAGCAGTAATGGTGAAGGTTTTGGCTCATCAACTTATTCAGATTTGATCATTTTATCTTCGTTTAATTGAATCGCACACATGTCTGTCTTCTGTCTTGATATAATTACCTTCATTTGCATCTCCAGATGCATTGCTGCTCGGTAGGGGACAATCGTAAAGAAACTTAGCTTCAACGCCGTTCCATGCGGCAAAGCTAAAGTACTTCACTGGAATAGGATCCAAGTCCATATAAGTCAGTATCGGGAGTGGGTCGCCTTCTTTGCCGAATTCTATCAACCCATCTAACATAAATAGAATTATTTAGAATTTAATTTTGCACTCACGTCCTTTACTTGTTCGCTTACCGGGTCGTAATCAATTGATAATTAAGATTGTATTTGACCTTTCCCTAAAAGTCATTTTCAACGGTTTGTTGTGAAATCCCGTTTCCCCTCGTGGGGCATAGGGCGGGCACACATCTGTATCCGTTTCACTGATCGGTTTAAAACCAAATTTTATCCTGTTTTGATTAGATGCTTTATAGTAGGCACTGCTACTAGATGCATGATAGAAAATAGTAGTGTTTAGATAAATATTAGTCAATATGTATTGCATTCATACATTATATTAAGGACACCAAACTTGGTTGTTTAAAGAATATAAAACATTTTGGTATAAGTGTAAGCTTTAGAAATAATATTAAGGTATATAATATCATCAATGTCATGTCAATGCGAAATAACATGAATACATTATTTATACATAAGAGCCAAGTGTTTTTTTATATTATTGTAAAAGGTAAATTGTATATAGTTGTAGTTAGTTTATATGGTAAGAGTTGAGTCACCTTCTGATATTCTGATGTAAAAAGCTCTGAATTCGACTGGAGAAAGCACTCCGAGGGTTTTGGCTGATGCTTTCGCGTTTCTTCTCAAATTTCTCCGCAGTTCTGTAAACTTATTTGCACCACCACCAATAACTGCAAAGAAAGTTAGAATGAAAAGAAACCATGCATATATATGACGTGCTCTTTGGTCTAATGGTAGCAGTCTATGTTAATAATTGTTCGTCGGTTCGATCCTCACCGGGTCCAACATTTATATACCACCCCTTGATTTAAATAAGACAATTTAACCGTTTAAAACACGATATTTATTAGTTAAACTTATTTCAAAACTATTTTTACTTTGACTCGACGTTTCGAATGCAGAAGCCGCCGTTACAGGGAGACTAGATGAAGAAAAGAAACGTCGATCCGAAGTTAAATAATTTTCAAAGTTTAATTAATATATATATCCCGTTTTGAACCGTCAATGTTTAATTTAAATGTTTAGAATAGTACGAATGAGCCCATTATAATTACAATTGTTTTTTTACGATTTATACCGTTAAAGAATCATAATTTTCATAAATACCACTGCCATTATTTAATTAAATAACCCAGACTATTGTAATAAAACCCTTTTAAACGGTTATAAATAGTTATTTTCATCTACGACCCGATCTTAGTCAAAACTTAGTCAACTCACCGATTTCATACACTGGATCGCTAGAAGGCGAAGGCACAGACGAAAGCAGTATATGTCCGTTGCTGGCTGCTAAAATTGCCAGATGCATCTCAAAGACCACGCTGGAATCCGTCTTAGCCTGTTTCCGGTCCACGGCGTCCGTTCTGAAGTAGGTTTTGTAGCTGTACCCATGCTGGCATAAATACTCCTTACAGCGCATTGCCACTGAAAAAAAAGATTGTTATATTTTTCACATGTTGGACTTTTTAAATACATCATTCATATTGAATTTAATTAAATGGTTATTATGCTTGAGTATCGAAATGAAAAACAATAGCTCTTATAATCATTAGCTTCGGTCGGGCACGGCATAAATTGTTTCATTCGGCCAGGGCAGGGTAATTTATTACCAGTGAAAAATGTTATTTAGTTCTTGCCCCACGTAAGACCGTTCACCATGTTATGTAAATACTATTATAAAGCTAAGGAATTTGTTTATTTTTTTAACAAACCTTAAAAAGGAGGCATACCGAACTCTATCCGAGACTCTTTAATTATTTCGATAATTCGAAAAATGTGTTACTCAAGACAAGTGTCTATTAAAGTATTCAAGATGGAAAGTTTGAAGTTCGGAAAACTTTGGCCGAAGTTCCAGTGAAATTGAGCGGTTAACATTTAAGATCGAACTGGGATCTCAATTATTTAAATTAAAGCCTGATTAGTTTTATTGGAGGTTTTAGTTTTATAAAATAAGCTTCTAAGAAACTTGGCTTAAGCTAAATTATACAAAATACCTATGAGTGAACATCTGGTACATGAATAAATCACTTTATTAAGCACTCAGCACCTAGTACTAAATAAAGTGAAGTCCGGTTTCCCCCAGTGAGTTTGTTGTGTTGTTTCTGTGTCTGTTTGACCGAATGTTTTTCCCAATTATCGAATCAAGGACCTCTCGCGTAATGCATTGCTAGGCAATTATCAGTCAGCTACAGAGGCTTAGTTTTTTTAATATCAAAATTACGCCCCAGTAGCAAACCACAACGATAAAAAAATCCGATTACCGTTTTGCGGTTTTTGAATATCTAAAGCCAAAATAGGTAGATAACGCATTTTGTTTAAATATTATATGGCTGCACTATCGAGATCCAAAGTAAAGCATCTATGGAGTAAACACAATACTTGTCTTTCCTCAGCCAGAAAAATTATATAAAAGACTTACTGTCGTAGGTAAAAGTGAAATTTGATAAAGCTTCGCCACATAACAACAAAAGACACAAAACGAATAACCACTTCATTTCAATTATTGTATTAAAAAGCACTACACAAGTTGCAGTTTTTTGTCCTTTCACGTAATGTACGAAGCTCTTATCAGCTGGAGCTATGTATTACAATTGTGTTGTCTAACGCCTAGTACACACACAACACAAATTTTATACATCCCGGTATAAAAATAAAGCTTGCAAAGACATATACATATATACATATATTATACAAGAGTGGTCTCAAATGTTACATATAAAAAGTGGATTTTTATAAAACTATAAGCAAGAGAAAACATTTAAAACCAAACGCTTTTTATAAAAAAGTCAATCTTAAAACCCAGACTATTCCGTAGGGGGAAAAGTGGGGAAAAATGTAAAATGGTTACCACATAGTGTAGATTACTAGGTCTTCTTTCGATCCCCCAAGTAGAAAATAGTTATTTTAGTTACTTTAAGAGGACAGAAAAGGTATCAACTTTGTACATTTTTTTTTAATTTTACCTATAGAGTTTTAACGTCCATCAGCGACCTTTAAGCATCTAGGATTAAAAAAAAAGGCTTATATGAAGCGAGCTGATCGGTCAAATATATATATATATATTTAGACAAGGTATGCATTACTTTTGTACGTAAAGATAGAGAGACGCCTTCCATACCTTTTTCTTTTTTATAATAGTAGAATGGTAGGTGTACTTTTTTGCTCTGTGAGTAGTTTCTATATGCTCACAAGAATAAAATAGTGATGATAGTTATAATGATGTGTAGATATAATTTAATACATTTTGTAAACTAAAATAATTTGCAGGTTCGAAGCGAAGAGAAAAAGATGTATAGATCTAGGATGTATGTCTATCTATATAAGAAAATGTTTTGTCGGTCAAAAAAGTGTTATTAACAGAACAATCATGAAAATGTATCATACTTCAAATTGGGGATATAAGACTTTATTAAATTTCTGTTAGAGATATCATTATAACGTACATCACTGACGGAAATGTGTTTATTATCTGAACGGATGAGATAAACGCCAGCTTTGTTTTGATTACCAACTATAAATATTTTATTTTTTAGCTAACTATCTTGCTCCGAGCGTCAATTTATAAATGATTATAATTTTAATTTAAGGAAAAGACTTTTTTATTGAAGTTCGCTACAGTTATGTTCATTACAACAAGTACTTGCTCTTACAATAACCTGAAAATATCAAATCTTTCAAATATCCTTGAGATTTGATATTTTTCAGGTAATTGTAGGACACGGTAGCTCAATTGGTTTGGTCGAGTACCCGTATGCTGGAAATGCCTTTTGAAATCCCGCCCGTGTTGTATTTTAAAACAGTCTTATTTAGTTTGAAATTGAAATTTAAGCACCTTCCCGTTGTCCGATTGATCTGAAATTTGGTACACACATTTAATTTAGATGACAATACAATATAATAAAAAAAACATAAATCCAAAACTAACGCCGATACAAAATGGCGGATTACATATTTTTCCTTAACCCCCTCAATATGGGTATCGAATGAAAGGGCTACACTAGTAAAACACGATGTCATTTTTTTGTTGTTTTCAGTGCATAAAAAATAAAACTGTTTAACTTAAAAGTTTTTTTAAGTTGATACTTGTTTTTAATCAAAGTAGGATTTCTTAATTTACATATTAAAGATATTTTTCTTACCACCGATATACGCTGTCGACCCATTTCGATTGAGGAAACTTAAGAAATTATAATACCTACAAGTATAATGTAGACGATATGAAATATTACAAGAAATTGAAGTGTGTATTTGTATTCGGGATATGAGTGGTAACAGTCGTTGTAAGGGTACAATGAAGTTTCTTTATTGTCTTTATTTTTTTGTCGTGTGGAAGAGTATATCAGCTTTTCAATTTACTGACTCTAGTAAGTATTTTCAATATATAGTTATTGAAGTCATAATTTCTTTAGCGGCGGTGTATAATTTTTTGCGATGAGTAAAAATAAACTCAACAATAAATTTTATACTGTCTATAGTTTACGCGAGTAGTACACATTTAAATAAAACACTTTAACGGTTTAAAACGCGATATATTTGTTAAACTTATTTAAAACGTCGGGCCGAAGTTAAAAATCATTTTAAAATAAGTTTAACTAATATATCGTGTTTTAAACCGTTAAAGTGTTTATTTAAATACATTTTATATCTAATCCATCCATTTGGAACATATGGAAAAATATCATTTCTGTAAATGTTAAACTCGCTTCATTGTCGTCTGATTGAAAATTCATAAGACGAAGGGAGTAGGCATTATAAATTGTCATATTTGTGTACGGTAGTGATAATTCAATCTATTCGTTCACAATTATGACTCAATCCTTTCAAAATATAAAATGCACCTGACTATTTAGGGTACCGTATTTTACATATATATTAATCGTTGTAATATTGATGCAGATTGGCATAATAACAAAAAAACATGATTTTCAAGGAGGAAATAAAAATGCGCGATTTACTTGGGCGCAAATGAATTTGTACTATTATTTGTGTCGAAATTACGTTTACAATTTTCGATCACTGTACTGTTGAAGATAAACATTTTTAGATAATAAAAATATGTATAAATCAAGTTATAAAATTGCAGTTAGGCTACTCTGCCTCTAGCGGCCTCATATATTAGACGTAAAAATTACTTTGAAGACATGACAACTTTAGCATTGAGCGAGGGAGGCTGTTTTGAATGCAAACGATACCTATTACATTTAAATATAGACAGTATTTGATACCTATTACAATTATTGATCTGATTATACATCTGTGTCTTGGCCTTAAAATGATAAGTGTGTTAAAATAAATACCCTTTGACTCGGTGGAATTAAAGTTAATTGAAATATAAAGATATCTGATTGGGAAGGTTACAAAAGTCAATAGTAATCAAAATTAATTTATAAGTATAACTAACTTACGACGTAAGAAAATGAAGCAACAAATAGTGGGTAGTCCTAATTATTGTACCAAAAATTGAATATAAAAAGTAAACGTGTACGTTTTAAAAAAATAATAACAAAATTCAATTTGAGTCATAAAAAAAGAGGGAGACGAATATTTATTTAATAATTTGCGATTAATTTAAAAATTTATTTATTGAATTGAAAATTAAAATAAAAAAATAATAAAAACACGAGCGGGCCTTGAAACACATCGTTCCATGCTGCTGCTCTACACATTTCAACATGCACCTTTCGCGTAATGTAATTTCAACCTTAACAGCTACGTTTTAAGGTATAATACCGAGTTATAGTTGTCAGACAGTCTGTCTGTATATCTCGATCGTCATTTTACTAGTATGTATTTCTGAAAGGTGCACTAACCCTACAAAATCATGTATTCCACTTTTAATCACAGGCTTAGTCTTATGAAAAGTAAGATGTCGAAATTTGTTTTCAGTGGCTAAACAGTGCAAAGGATTTATTAAGAAGACCAAACACACATACGGTCCTTTTTACATGGTAGCATCTGAAGAGATTCGGAAATTCAAGTCCGATTCCACTATAGACTTTGAGATGCACTTTGCTATTATGGGGCCTAGCGATGGCCATATTTTACTGTCAGATGAAGCAAAACAGACTAATGGTTCTTATGAAATTGGTAAGCATTTTAATTAATAAGTATAGATCATGTCCCCTACCTGGGGCATAATCTTTGAGAGTTTCACTAATCGATTTTATACACAGGAAATAAATATATACTACAGACAGCTATAGATATCGAACTAGCTGTACCTGCGACTTCGTCCTTGTACAATAGTTATTTTGGACGTCAAAATTTGTAAATGTAAATGTGTAAATTATATCTGTTACCCACGACATCGGTCGCGTCCCGTTCTTGCATGTTAATTTTAAAAGATAGACATATACTAAGGCGGCCATTTTTTAAACATTATGTAAAGGGAATCGTTGCGACATATTTTTGAATATCTTGAATCGTTAACCGTCGTGCAGAGCACGTAGCAAAAACTCTCAAAGATGAATATTTTTTTCATTTTTTTCCACATTCCCCACTGTTTCTATTGGTCTCAGCGTGATGTTTTATAGCCTTAAGCCTTATTCAATAAATGTTCTAACCATTACAAAAATAACTTTTCAATGCGAACCAGCAGTTCCTGTGATTAGCACAAATTCTATATAAGTAAACAAAAGTAACATATTTGTACTATGAATTAACAGCAATTGGAGCAGGTAGAAATACATTTGTGGACATACGCGGGAAGGACAGTATTTCGAAGAATTCTACTATTATCAAGGATATCCTCTCACCGGGAGAATACAGAGCTTTCCACATTAAACAATATAATGGTATTTTGTTTTTCTTTAGCTATATATGCAAGAGAACTTTTTAACAGTAACATTTTTACTTCATTCAAATTATGAATGTAACGAAAAATATCGTTAGTGTAACTTTACCATGTTCATCTTTGTAGCTAAATGGTTAATGTTACCTACCATTGCATTAAGCGAGAGAGTTCCCTGGTTCGAGTCCTGGGTAACGGAAACAAAAATTATTTCTGATTATTAATCTGATCAAGTACTTGCCTATAAATAAAACCGATCAGTGAAACGGACACAGAAATGCGTTTGTCCCATGCCCCATGAGGGGAAACGGGATTTAACACTACTCTACCTATTCATACGTATTTTGGTTTGCAATAAATAGAAATATTGTTGTAATCAAACATTTTCGTAAAATTCCAAATACTTTATTTTAGGTATTGGGTAGACAAATTTATCAGTCCGCTTCGAATATTTGATCTTTTATTCAATTTCCGACGTTATAATTCCGATATTATAACCTTTTTTTTGATCAATAAATGTTGTAACTTGAAACTCAAACCTTCATAATCTACCAGATGGAACAATCGCATTGACCAGAGAAGGGGACCGGCAACCGCTTGTTTTTTACAAGGACCCGACACCGATTCGAATTGAATTCTTCAGTTTTAGTACTTGGTCTGAAATTGAGGGTAAATTTTACTTCGACTGCCCAGTTCCGAATATTTCCAAAAAAACAAACATCACACAAGTTAAAATCCAAGGTACGTACAAGTAAAATAACAATTACAATCAAGACTTTGTCTAATGGTAGTAATGTATGGTTACCGACCAACGGGTCGTTGGTTCGACCCCTAACGGTTCCAATATGTTCCTAATCAGTTTGTTCTATAAAATCTTAGGAAAATCTGGATATTCAATGGATAGTAGAAATATCAAAGTCCCATCCAGGACACGAACCACCGTTCATAGATAAGAAGGCCGTTAAGTTAAATCACATTTCGTAGTTAAACGCTTCCATTACGTGAATCCCAAACTCGTCAGTCCGCTGTAATAAAAAAAAAACTACATTATGGAAGATCTCAAAAAGCATTATAAGTTTCAAGGGCATTATTAATCCGTTGCAGAGTGTAAATTGTTCACGAGCAAGACGAACTGTACCTATGACACTTTCTTTAATACCAAGGGAAACAATCGTCCTAATATTAAATTAGATCCTTGGATCGATTTTGAAATGCACTTTGAAGTGATGGCTGCAAATGACGCTCATCTTCTACTATCTACAGAGGCGAGAGATTCTTATTTAAATGGTCCAGTATATGAAATAGGTATAGTATTTTTATCAGATTCTACAAATCGCTTTTTTGGATGGAAATTTTTGGATGGTTAAAATTTTATCATCCAACTAATGCTCTTTTTAATAAATCTTCGGCACTAATCTGTTCTTAATATTATTTCTTAACTGCTACGGCCGAATAAACTCGAAAATATAAATAATTTAATGTTTAATCTTATTTTTTATATATTTTTTAGCTATAGGAAATGACAGTAATTCAGTTACAGAATTACGTAAATATTATGAATCATTGCGCAGTGACTGGGCACTGACACCCAATATTTTATCTGCGTCAGAATTTAAATATTTCAATATCAAAATATACAAAGGTAAAGTAAAAGATTAATCATTACCGACCACACCAAAATGTTTCTCACGTGACTTCAAAATAAAAAAAATGTTAAATTTACAGCTGGATCCATTGTGCTTAGTAAAGACGGTGTTTCTGAACCAATCTTAAACATCGTTGATTATAATCCAATATCAGTAAAGTACTTTAGTTTTGACACGAGCGACAACGTCGAGGCTAAATTTCTTTATGGATGTTCAGACATGAATGAGACCGCAAAAAAAATATTTGAAGGACAATATGGTGAGATATGTGTCTTGTGCGTTAAATCCATTTCATAAAGAAACGACACACATTAAGTAAAACAGTACTGATTATTTTAAAATAGAAAGTATACTTAATAATAATTCATTACAGAAAGGGGCTGTAAGACATATATAAGACAACAGGGTGGCAACTTTAACAAATTTATAAAAGCTGAAGATCTCGAATATAATAATCGAAATGAAGATGTTACCTTTGAAATGAACTTCGCAGTATTAGCCGCTCAAGATGCGCACTTTCTACTATCCACGGTACCAAATCTCGCTGGACCTATCTATGACATTGGTAAGATATTATTGCAAGAATCTTTAATTCGAGATAGAACTATTACTGCATTTCATAAAGCCTTCTCCCACACCTAAAATACATCTTGACTAATAAAATGTACTCTGGCTTTGATTATGAATTGAAATTATATTGTTCCAGGAATAGGTATAGATTCAAATCAAATGACCGAGATACGTCGGAGCTACGATGAAATATCAGGAGAGTTTGCTGTGACACATAATATTTTATCGCCAACAAAATATAAACAGTTTTATACAAAAGTATACAAAGGTATGATGGAAGACACAATCAAAACTATCCTTTTATGTCATCTCATTTTACCTAATTTCTTGCAGACGGTACCATAGAATTAGGGATGGAAGGTAGCCTTCGGCCCATCCTCAATTTCACGGATACAAAAGCGGTTCCCGTTAACTTCTTCAGTTTTTCTGCTGGTTCCAGCATGGATGCCAAGTTCCGTTATGACTGTCCCAAACCGGATTTGAGTGACTCAACAGGTTAAATTATTTTTTCTTTTTCTGTCACCATGCATTGCTCAGTCAAATTGTGATGTAGTTTTTACCAAGAACGTAATTTCTACGTAAAAAAGAAAATGTTTACTACGCAAGTGTTCTAGTATCGCTATAGTTATATCGCTTGAGAAGTCTATTTTTTTAAATTCATTTAAAATTTTTCATACACAAGGTACTATAACTATACTATAAGGTGGTACTATAAAAATAAATAAAATAAAACAAGGCTAGGCTAGCTTCTGAAAATATTTGTAAAATTTAATTGAAATTGGGAAAGTAATGTGCCAGAACTCTATTTTCTATGATAACTGTGAGGTGTGCGTGTTGTAATTAAAATATAGTTTAATATAATATAATAGTTTTAATTCTATGTCTCCTGGCACCCTGCCTATTATCAACTGTACAAATAAAAAAAAATGTTTTTATTTTTCAGAATAAACCAAGAAATGCTGTATTATGAACAATAACAATGTGCATTAGAAGCATTCTTGACCATCTTTATTTTGTAGTTTTTTTTTTATCTCACTCCTGTTAACACAAAGTTTGATAGATTACAAAATAAAATGAATATTACTTGCTGTGCCTTTTATTATATCGCTTTTAGTAATATTTTTGCCATTCTTGTAGATAGACAAGATAGATAATAGATTATTTGTTTTAATTTAAGTTTGTCTTGTTCTTTAAATAAAATCAAAGCAATTAAATACGAAGCCATCACATTGGCTGTTAAAAAGCACCCCAAATGTCGTGAGTGACGTTATTAATACATACTACGTAAAAACTGTTGAACGCGCTCATCTCAGGAATTATGGATTCGAATTGAAAATTTTTGTGTTAGAGCATTTATTGAAGAAGGCTATAAAACATTGCATGATGTAATAAAAGCGAAGATACAGCGGGAAATGTTAACAAAACGGCGAAAAATTATTCATCCTTGTGGGATTCCATTGCGCACGCTGCGAAAACGGTTATAGATTCCCAAAAATCGTGTATGAAAGAAGTATTTCTCAGTAAAATCTTAATCTAAAAAAATGCGCGACGCTATATGTCTATCTTTTAAGATTAACTTGCAAGAACGACGGGATTTGGACGCTCAAAATGACTATTCTACGCGGATGAAGTCGTTAACACAACTAGTACAAAATAAAAAAGGTAAGTACCAGGCCGATACTTTTTGAAGATGGATAAATGATATAACTTGGTTATTATTATTTATTACGGATTAAAGAAATATTAAAATTGTAATTAAAACGATATTTAAAGTATTTTGTCAAAAACTATATAGGCGTTAGTTAAGCATTCCTTTACTAATATTGCTCGTCGGTTTAATGGAAGCAATGCATGGCTCACAATCAACGGGTCGTGGTTTCGATCCCCACCGGATCCAACATTCTTGAAATCTATTTAAAATTTTCTAAAACATGTTGGTCTTCGTCTGGAAATCTGGGTATTAAGTGGGTAGAGAAAAAGCCGTGATGTTTAATCATGTTTTGATTTCATTCTCTGGAATCCTGAATATCCAAAGCCAAAATAGGACGTGAGCATCTTGTTGGATGTATGGCTCGGCTGTTTCACCCACCATGTGGACCCTATGCTTGTCTGTCCCCCTCTATAATACAAATTCGAATTATCACAAACAAGTTTGCCTTATATGATTGTCTGTGCATGTGATTTAAAAGCACAAAATCTATTCAGTACTACATTTACAGCGAATCGCATCAGTCAAAGTAAAAAAATTAAAATGAAATTAATTTGTTGCCTTTATCTGCTTCTTGTGTGGGAGTATGTGTCCGCTTTCAAATTTACTGATGATAGTGAGTACATTTTTTATATACATATATAATCTAATATTATAAAGCTGAAGAGTTTGATTTTTTGAATTGTTTAAATTGGAAAATAATTTTTGTGTTGTTCGAAACATTTATCGAGGATCGACCTTAGGCTATAAAACGTCCATATGCGACCAGCGAAGAATTAGTGGGGTAATATAGACATCTTCCAGGGTTTTTCTTACGTGCGCTGCGAAAAAGCTTTAAGAAACCAAAAAATCTATGATAGAAGAATTTCTCTTAAAATAATCTAAAAAGTGTCGGCAATAGTACATATCTATCTTAACTAAAATAAGCGTTTTTATTATTTTATAGCTATTAAGCCGAAAAGTCGACAAAAATGTTATATATATTTTTTAACTTTGATTTTTTTTATTTTTATAAAAAGATCTAGCTGGTGATGTAAGAAAATAGTTTAAAACGAAGACCAACAAAACGATAACTGTGAAAAAATTCAGCGTCATAAACATCTGGCAATTTTATCTACATTAATCATAGGAGGAATACAAACAGTGTTTATATTTCAGTGGCTAAGCAGTGCAAAGGCTTTATCAGAAAGACCGATAAAACATTCAATACATTTTACAAAGTTGATGCTGAAAACATTCGAAAATTAAAGTCTGATAGTGCAATAGACTTTGAGATGCGTTTTGCTGTTATGGCGCCCTCCGGCGCATGTATTTTACTTTCAAAGGGAGAAAGTAAAGAACTTGCCTATGTTATTGGTAAGCATATTGGTTTAAAAGTATTTTTTTTTTGCCGGCGGGTAGATTCATTTTGTCATTTTTAACGAACATAAATATTTCTCCGAGATTGGATTGCATTGGTCCAGGTTTTCTTGCGCTTGCGACAACTTTTGCATCAATTTTCAGTCAACAACTAATCGACAGCAAGGACACAGAAGAACGTCAGAATTGGATCATGTTATTTTTGGAGCTTATGGTAGTCGTCTACACTACGTCATAAATAGTACGAGTTCCCTACATTAAACGGAAATGGTAAAACTAGATTATCGTTAGCTGTGTTTGTATTTTCAGCTATTGGAGCTAATAAGAATACAGAGGCGAACATAATAATGAGCATACGAGATGAGTATAAGAACACTACTTTCATGAAAAACCTACTCTCATCGGTGGAATACAGAGCTTTTAATATTAAACAATATAAAGGTACTTTTTAATATATACAAAGGTAAAACACATTGTCGTTTTGTTAAAATATTAAAGGTAACAATAAGTTATTATTTAATTTATTATGATTACTATAAGAACTTTGTAAAGTGAAATGTCATAATGAACCAAAATATTTTTTTGAAAATGGAACCCATATATTACACATATTTCTGAGTCCGTTCCACTAGAAATCTTTACAGGTAAGATTATAACGAATTAATTATGACATAAGTGTGTGGGTAGTATTATTGTACCTTCAAAATATATCAATCCAACAGATGGAACTATTGCAGTAGCTAGAGAAGGAGATCGTACACCAATTATTGTTTACAAGGATCCCACACCGATTAAAATTAATTATTTTAGTTTTGCTAATTGGAATGTCGATGAGGTTAACTATTACTTCGACTGTCCAAAGCCACCAGGTAAAAACATTTTTTTACTACATGTGTGATAAATGTCTTATTGAACACCAAAAATTATGTGATTATGCCTGCCAATATCTAAAAAATATCATTGACTAGCTGTGCCCGCGAATTCGTTCGCGTGGAATAGTGACTTGGGGTGGATGTTTTAATTATTTAGGCTGTTTTTTAATTTATGTAAGAGCGCATTTAAGTCAGCCAATCTATGGTAAGAGGTACTTTGCCGCAACAGTCTCACCTCACATCACTCCTACTCTAACTCCCACTCTCACCCCCACTCCTATTTCCAAAACCACTTCGAATTTCCATACAAACTTTCATCCCCTGTTTTCAACCCCTATCAGGTTTGATATTTTTGGCATTACTAATTATAAATAAATATTCCTTTCTCAGGCTCTGAAATATCTGTATACTGTCTTTAGTTTACGCAAGTAGTACACATTTAAATAAAACACTTTAACGGTTTAAAACGCGATATATTAGTTAAACTTATTTGAAAATGATTTTTAACTTCGGCCCGACGTTTCGGATGCTTTGCAACTGCCGTGGTCACGGGGAGGCTAACGAAGTTAAAAATCATTTTCTAATAAGTTTAACTAATATATCGCGTTTTAAACCGTTAAAGTGTTTTATTTAAATATCTGTATACCAAATTTCATTCAAATCCGTTCAGTAGTTTTGGCGTGAAAGAGTAACAGACAAACAGACAGAGTTGCTTTCACAATTATAATATTAGTAAGGATTCATAGTGTAACGATGTAAATGTATAGTTTCAGAGTGTAAACTATTCACCAGCAAGAACTGTATTTATGACACATTCTTTAATACCAAGGACCAGAAGAGACCTGACATCAAATTTGATCCCTGGATCGGTTTTGAAATGCACTTCGAAGTGATGGCTGCGAATGACGCTTATCTTCTACTGTCGTCAGAAGCGAATTATAACTATAATAGACCTGTATATAGAATAGGTTAGTTTTTATCAGAAATTCTAATAACGGTGAATTAACACTCCTTAAATAAAACTCTTTACTAGGCATCCAAAACATCGGGCCGGAGTTAAAAATATTTTCTAAATATGTTTAACTCAAATACTGTCTTTAATGTAATACACATTTAAATTAAACAGTTTAAAATGCGATATATTAGTTAAACTTATTTGAAAATGATTTTCAACTTTGGCCCGACGTTTCGGTTGCTTTGCAGCAGTCGTGGTTACGGGGAGGCCGGGGAGATCTCCCCATGACCACGTCTGCTGCAAAAATGCCGACGTTAAAAATCATTTTCAAATAAGTTTAACTAATATATCGCGTTTTAAACCGTTAAAGTGTTGATCGGGGATACGGGGAGATCTCCCCGTAACCACGGCTGCTGCAAAGCATCCGAAACGTCAGGCCGAAGTTGAAAATCATTTTCAAATAAGTTTAACTAATATATCGCGTTTTAAACCATTAAAGTGTTTTATTTAAATGTTTAACTCATTTATTTCGCGTCTTAAGCCGTTAATGTGTATAACTAACAGTCTTACAAACAACAACTGGTTTTCGGGCTGCTTGGCCATGGAAAATTTGTTAGGCTAGATTGAATAAAGACCAGTCTCCGCTTAGTCGATAAACACACAAAATCTCCTGATGATCCGCTCGTCATAGCGAAAAGTCAGCTCAGAAACTCAAGAGGATTGAATAAAATGGGTGCGATGCAATTCGCATCTGTTTTTAAGTAATTCCCATTTTTGAAGATGATACATTACTTGTTTAGATGTTATGTAAACAAGTAATGTATAAACATATAAAAAGTTTATTTATTTTTCTTTCTCGAATTAATCTAATCTTTAAACATTTAAATAAATTAACTAGAATTTAAGTAACACTCACTCAAAACTGTAATATAGAGGCTTTAATTATAATTTCTTAACTAATATATTTGTCATATATTTATAGCTATTGGAAATGGTACTAACTCAGTGACAGAAATACGTAAATATCATAAATCAATACGCAGCTACTGGGCATTAACACACAATGTTTTATCTGATTCCGAATTCAGATATTTTAATATCAAAATTTACAAAGGTACTGTAAATCCACCATTATTTTCAGTAGCAAAATATGTGTGACTACAAAATAAACAGTTACATTTACAGATGGACCGATTGTGCTTAGTAGAGAAGGCCGTTCCGAACCAATTTTGTACATCGTTGATGACAATCCAATATCAGTAAAGTACTTTAGTTTTGACACGAGCAACAACGTCGAGGCTCAATTTCTTTATGGATGTTCAGACAAGAATGAGACCGGGAAAATTGTAGTAGAAGGACAGTATGGTGAGATATTAAATATTGCTTTTACATAAATTGTGTAAGGCTTTCACCGCCATCGTTAAGCAAATCATTGTCTTTCGGGCTGTTCGGCCGATGTAAGCGAGGAGAGGTTCTCGACGTTTCGCCATCACGTGTGGACGGCATCATCAGGAGATGTTGACTCCTCGATTGCTCGAAGAATTAACTCTTCGAGCAATCGAGGTGAAACGTCGAGAACCTCTTCCCGCTCACATCGGCCGAACAGCCCGAAAGACAATGATATGCTGATTGCTTTTACATTCCATTAAAAAGTTATAATATGCATTATATCAGGCCGCTAGAGGCAGATAAGTCTATTTGCAATTTTGTGACTTGAGTTGTTTATATTTTCATAGTCTAAATGTTAATAATAGTACAAATTCGTTTTTAGCCAACGTTCGTTGCGCATTTTTATTTTTCTTCTTTTGAAAATCATGTTCTTTGTTAATAAGTTACTCTGCCGCTAGCAGCCTCATGTAACGTATAAGCATAACTATGGTTCATTAAAATAGAAAACATTATAATAATAGAATTTAAACCAGTTCCAGAAAAGAAATGTAAGAAATTTTTGCGACAACGAGATTCAAACGCATTTATAAAAGCTGAAGATATCAAAGTTAACAATCAGTATGAAAACGTAAGCTTCGAAATGAACTTCGCAATATTAGCAGCTCAAGATGCACACTTAGTACTATTGACGATGCCGAATTACGATGGACCTATCTACGACCTTAGTAAGATATTACTATAAAATTGCTACGAATAAAGAATTTTGATTCAAAACTCATTATTTTTTGATAGTAAGCGTTATTTGTAGTTACTAGATATAAGTTTATCTAGAGAGAAGTATTTATTCAATTCTATACAATACCTTTCTACGTTATATTGTTTCAGGAATAGGAACAGATTCTAATCAAAAAACCGAGTTACGTAGAGGCTACGAAAACATATCAGGAGAGTTCGCTTGGACTCCTTATATTTTGTCAGAAACAAAATATAAAAAATTTTACACGAAAATTTACAAAGGTATGATGGAAGACACTATCAAAAGTCTCCTTTTGTGTCATCTCATTTTACCTAATTTCTTGCAGACGGTACCATAGAGTTAGGGATGGAAGGTAGCCTTCGGCCTATCCTCAATTTCACGGATACAAAAGCGGTTCCCGTTAACTTCTTCAGTTTTTGTGCCGGTTCCAGCATGGATGCCGAGTTCCGATATGACTGTCCCAAACTAGATTTGGATGACACAACAGGTAATTTCTATTTTTGTTTTTTTACCCTAGTCATGTTATCTGAAGAAATTTAGAGTTCTTCTCTCTTGGCTCTTGACTTATGCATTTTGGCTGAAAAGTCGACTTATTAACATAAAAGTTCTTATTTTATTTTTGTTGCAAAAATCAATATTGTAGTAAAGCTGGTTGTAATGATGTAGTTATTTAAAATAACATACGTCATCTGGGCTTGCTTTATCAAAGGAGTCATCAAATATCTACGTTCTTTTTACTTTTCACGTTTTTGTATAAACTATATTTGTTTCTAAAAAAAAACACTTAAACAAACAGAAATCGCGAAATATTTTAGTTAAACTTATTTTAACTACGGTCCGATATTTCGGATGCTTTGCAGCAGCCATAGTCACGGGGAGACTTAGACATTTTATTTAAATGGTTGTAGTGTTTTATTTAAATGTTACTTGAGTAAACTACAAACAGTATTTAACTGGTAATTTTTTCAGAATAAACTAGAACTTCGTCAACAAGGACAACATTTCAATCGTTCTTACTTGTTTATTTTTTAATTGGAAATAAAAATGATTACTCAATTAATTTACTTAATTTGAATAGTTAAATAAAAAAGTTGTAAGATGGGGGATGATTTCATAGAATAGACAACTGAGTAATCGTGAAAAATTGTGTATTATTTTTTTATCCTATCAGCGTGTAATAGTGAGTTATGATATTTGATCTTTATGCGTTGTTGGCGATACATTCTTCAAAACAATATTTTTTAAATTATTCTTGAGTTGTTCCTAATTAATTCTACTTTAGAAAACCTACATCTACTTCTTATATGGTAACATATATAATTTAATTTACTTAGTAGAATGCTTACACAGCATAATTACGTTGACAATTGGAAGAAACATTGCTTTAAGTTGCTTGGTTTTGAATCCGAGAGAAATATAAATAAAAAAAAACAATTTAAAAAGGACTCAGTTTTATGTTCGCCTTATGCCTCTCTTAAGGGATTGAAACCGATATGAACTTATTAATAGGATTATATACAATTTTTAATATTACCTTCGCACAACCATATATAATCTTAAATATTCGTAAAAGTCACTATTCCGCGCGGTCGCGTACTTTTGGGTAGGTTTTTTTTATTATTTAGGCAGTTTATTTACTTATAAAACGGCGCATTTAAGGCTGCCAATCTTTGTTGTAAGTGCTACCTTGCCGGAACACTCCCACTTTCACCTGACATCACTCCTACTCTTACTTCCGCTCTCACTCCCATCCCTAAAAAGCCAAAGAAGAAAGTTTCATTGTTTTAGCTTCAAACATCACGAGTTTCCATACAAACTATCGTCCCCGTTTTCAACCCCTAGCAACCTTTTTTGGCATAGAAAAGTAACTTATATCCTTTCTCAGGCTCGAGAATATCTGTGTACCAAATTTCATTCAAATCGGTTGTGTAGTTTCGGCGTTAAAGCCGGACAGACAGACAGACAGAGTTACTTTCGCATTTATAATATTAGTATAGATATAGAATCACATAGCCTTTGTTTGTAAATTAAGGTATAATTGCCCGAAGCAACGATACGTTTCTAATTTAATTACTGTGAAAAGCTGATGTTTTCAGACAAATAGGAGGATTTAATTAAGCACGGTTCACTGTCGAAATATCGATCGGCCAACGAAAAAGAAGGGTAATGGTTTTTGTAACTATGTATTTTTTATGATAGAGTAAAACAGACAAGCACGGGATTCACTTGATACTAGCTATACAATAACTCGACAAGATGCGCTGTTTATCTTTTTAGCTTTGGATATTGGAAATCGAAAGACTTAAATCAAAACGTGATTAAGCTTCACGGCTTTTTCATTTGTGTGATGCGGATGGTGGTTTGTAACCCAGGCGGAATTTTTATATTCCTAATACCCAAATACTCCAAAAAGAATCAAATAAAAAAATGATGAACGTGGTGACTGTCTAGTCTACAATCCGTTGATTATTAGGCGTACATTGCTACTTTTAGACCATAAGCCATTGTACATATAAAGTTAAAATATAACGTTTTGAATAGAGTTACGGAAAATTCATTTATTATCCATATGATTTCCCAAAAAATCTAATAGGAAGCTCCTATTAAATTTAATTTTGAAATGTACCAAATACTAGCTGATCCGGCAAACGTTGTTTTGTTGTTCGCGAGATTCATTTTTAAAAATAAAGTATTTAATTGGACCAATTTAGATTACCATAAAAACTTTTCTTGCGAGTTAATCTTTACAGATAGATATATACTTTTGCGGACATATTTTAAGATCAATTAAAGAAGAATCTATCTTTCATACATATTATTTAGTTTCTTGAACCGTTTTCTCAGCGTATGAAAGCCCTTTCAGATAGTTTTATGTGTTTTTTCCATTGCTTTTTCTCTCCTATTGGTCACTGTGTGATATAAACCACCGAAAAAAGGTTCTAAAAATTCGAACCAGGTCTTTCTTAGCTTGGCGCGTTTAAACAAACTCTTTGGCTGAATAATATTAGTATAGATGACAAAGTTAATGACATTCCTATGCAAGCATCCTTAAGTGTCGTAGATAGCGACAGCGCTTGCATATCTTGAATATGCAACACCAAGATACCGGGTGAATTATCACGATATTATAGGGCAACCCCATTTACATTAGCATCAAATGGAAATAAAGCCTGGAACAATTCCAAGGATGCGATGACTTCGATTTCTCGACGTTTCAAAATGATCTCAGCGAAATGCAAATTACGCGGTGCTAACGTACCTTGCCTTGTTACTCGGAGGCGCTTTTACGACTCACGACACCGAGGGTGATACGATTTTTTAAAATAAGAAAATACCACGTAATCCAAATCTTGAACGATTTGTCGAAAACGAAAAATTTGCGATAGAAAGAAAACGATACTATTAAATATTGTCTATAGTTTACGCGAGTAGTACACATTTAAATAAAACACTTAAACGGTTTAAAACACGAAATATTATTAGTTAAACTCATTTACATGCTTTGCAAAAATTTGTTAAAAAGTACAGATTTAATTCATTTTTATTATTTATTATTTTATTATTTCTACAAACACCATTGGAGTAATCTGGTTAGCAGCCGAATAAGAAATTTTCGAGGAACTGCCCTTGGTAAAAGATTCGACCTGGTTGGTATTATATTATAGATGTGACTTCTATAAAGCTTTCCTTCTTGGACAGTTTGAAACAAAAAAAAATGCTTCCTAACGTCAAACTTATCGTATATTAGTAACAAATAGCAACTGTTTCAATTTCCGTTCCGTCGTACGTGGGAAAGGCCTCTCAAACTGCAATTTGAGATTCAATCAGCTTCTTCTGAACATTGTCCTCTCCGATTGATAAAAACTGTGTAAATTCATCGGCTTTGTATAAATAAGATTTTTCTTTGCCCCGACCTCAATAAAGATTTCAGAAATTAATTGTCTTTTAATATTTCTTTGTCTGTGAGACATTTTTCATTTCGTTTCCTGTTTAAAATTAGTAAATGTAACAGTGTTTAAGAAAGATTTCTTAATCTGCTTCAAGTCAATAAATAAATTATATTTAGATGTTTAATCATCAATGACCTAGACATAATAGACGTAGACGTAGATATTACTACCACTAATGTAATGTTAAGATTTCCAGACTAAGTCCAACATGTTTTAGAAAAATATAATTTAATGAGAAACATGTTGTGGGGCTCGAATCCGTCCTTTGATTGACACACATTGGTATTGTTACAACATTTCTAAAACGCATAAGAAAATGTAAATACAGGTACATAAACTGCTTCCCCTTAAAAATTCACACAACGCTCATGTATTCCCTTCTTTTATTGTTCTCCGCCATATTTACGATTCCCTGAAAACTATGAATAAATAATCCGCCATCTTGTTTCTCGAGTTATAAAAAAGTAAAACCAATTACCTCCACGGAGCTTCTTATTGGTGCAAAAGAAAATGAAAATAATACTTTATTATTGTATACGGCGTATTTTTCATTTGCGATTTCCTCAGAAGACTATATGTCATCAAGACTTAAAGACTGGTAATACCCTTGCCTACATCAATTATACAATTTAAAAATCGAAAATATATATTTTTTTAATTCGCAGACTCGGTAGCTCAATTGGTAGAGCAACAGCACGGAACGCTGACGATGCCGGTTCAAGTCCTGTCCGAGAGGAAAATTTTTCCAATTTATTTTCGATTTTTTAAATTATATCGTGCTTTCATGTGCAATAACATGTAACAATATTAAAGTTTTCAAACATCAATTATATAACCAAAAAAATGTAATGCATTTTAACTATATATGACGAAGCCTTGTCGGAAGACCAGAAAGAATTCCCAAAATAGACGTCTTTATGTACCATAGAAAAGTCTAATTTATTAGTAAAAAACAAATTAACACAAAATACGCAACAATTAAATTCGAACCAAAACGTTTACTTTTGTAAACGCAGTCGGTTCGACACAGCGGCAGTAACTTTTACGCAGTCGACCGTTTGTGACTAACATTGACTTTAAACAAGGCTCAATCGCTTCTCGAGAGTTCCCGGTGGACACTTGACTGTCTCTCATCACTATAATTCCTACCTTGAATAAATGAAATTACATGCTTTACACTTTCCATCAAGTAAGCTCTTATCTGTATTTTAGGACCACACCTCTAACTATTGCCTTAGGGGGACAAATACAGAAATAAAGTCTCAATACTTTGATTAAAGCGCTTATAATGACGACTAATTAACCAACCATACTCTTGTCTAGATTGAAACTCATTAATTAGTATCTTGGAGCTTGTTAAGATATTGGATAAACTAGGAGTTTGTTCCAAACATTTCAACTTCCTAATTGAGTCCTTGTTTAGAGGAGTGATTATCGGCGTATCCTATCTCTAATATGTAAATAATATTTTACCCCGACCCACTGTGTTACCTGTGTTATGTTTACAGATACCAAATAGTCTAAGGCTGCGATCTGCTATGAACGTTTTACGTCGCGAATAGCGTTGCACCTCTAACTATTTAAATCTATACTAATATATAAAGCTGAAGTTTGTTTGTTTGAACGCGCTAATCTTAGAAACTACTATTGGGAAATGAAAAATTCTATGTTGGTTAGAGCATTTATCAATGAAGGTTTATAAGATTTATATATAGGCTATAAAACATCGCACTGTGACTAAAACGAGCAAAGAAACAATGCGAAATGTGGAGAAAACGGGGGAAATTATTCAACATTGAGGGTTTCCGTTGCGTAAGTTGTGAAAACAGTTCAAGATACCAAAAAAATATGGATGGAAGAATGATCCCTCTTTAAATGATCATTAAAAAATAAGTTGAAAGAACTGACGGGCTTTGCACGGGCATTGTATGGCAAATAATAATCAACTGTTTAAATAAAATACTTTAACGGTTTCAAACGCGATGTATTATATAAACTTATTTGAAAATGGAACGGAAGAACGG